TTTTTTGGTTCTGGGTCTCGGTCTTCTTTGAGGACGTTCCATCATCAGTTTTAGTTGAAGTTGAGAATAATGCTCGTCCGTCTACCGTTGAACCCTGCATCGAAGGGGGAAAACACCGTCAACACCAAAACCATTGAACCAAGAGCAAGAGTTTGTTAAAGAACAGGAAGGGCAGGTGAACTAACAGGTTGTGGAAAGCATGGTCTGGTTACTCTGCCATATACTGAAGAATAGGAATTAGAATTTGATGAATCAGAGAGAAACCCCTTTATACTAAGAAATAAACTTGTAGATCTTCTGGGAGCAATCGGATTGACCCTAAAGCAATCTCTACTGATCCTATTACGACTGGGGAATGTGCTGATGCCAGAGAGACTAACAATCGATCGAACTCGATTGCCAATCCCATAGTTCCTGCTCAAAACAACAAAAGCAGAATTTTCAAAATAACTTATGGCAGTAGCACCGCGTGACGCCATCACGGGTCTACCATCACGTTGAAGAAACTCCGAAGCTCGAATGCGTTTGGAAGTAAAAGAAGCAGCAGCAAGCATTCCTTTAAATTCAAAGCTGTCAAACTTTTCCCTTGCGCGAAAATAGAAGAACCCAAACCACAAATAAGAAGCAGACTTGGACGAGAAAAACCCTAATCAAAACTTTCTTCTCTGGGTAAGCAAGTGTTCAGTTGTAAGAAGGTGGCTGGTAACAAAAAGAAGAAAGTATGAGGGACAAATATATATAGGAAAGAAGAATAGAAGGAGAAAAGACAGAAAGGCAGAGAATCTGTGCGTGATGTTCAGACTTTAGAACACTCCGAGGTGAGCCCACGTTGGCACCGTGGAGATTATTAGGAGACTAATGGAGATTAATTCAAACCCAGCACAAAGAACAGCGATTCAATGCGCCGCCGTGGGAGTCAATGGTAGTACCCCTTTTCCCTCGCTGCTGCGCCAGTTCAATCTCAACAGTCAAATCTCCAGAATTGCAAAATAAAATTCTTAATATAAAAACTAAATAAGTGATTTAAAAATATTTTAAAAATTAATTTAAGTAATTATTTATAATAAATGTTATATATATTATAATTATATTTGGTTGGAAATACTTCATAATTAATAAAAATATTTTTTGAAAGACATTATAAATTTAAAAGACAAAACAGATAAAAATCTTGTATTTAGAACTTTCAATTAACACTTATATTAAATGTAAGTAAGAATTTATTATTTTCTACCTTTAAAACTTATAGTTTTTTTATTTGAGTACATGTAATTTTTTAACTATAAATATTATTCTCTATACTTGTAATTTACTAATTATATTTGTTATCGATGCTAAGGCGAGATAGTGACAAAATACAAAATTAAAAAAATTAGATGATGGACTAAGATGTATTAATCATCAACATAATAAAAAATTTTATCCTTGAAATTATCTTCTTGCATTTGTAATTTAGTTTATTTTGATTCCATTTAAATCTATATAACGAATAATTCAGGTGGACGTTAAATAGAAGTTGGATCATGAACCACGAACAACAACGTTTTCCCTACCAATTTAAGTGATGAGCATATGGACGAATGCCAATTGAGAAAACTACAAGAATCCAATATAAAAATCCACTACAGTTACCTCATGAAAAATCATGTCAAGCTATAGGGTCTTACCAATTAACTGTTTTTATCAAAACAATCTCAGCACTTGGGGGTTTTATAATTATGAAAAATTATGTGGAATTAATTTATAAGAATTTATTAGAATCAAAAAATGGCTCAGAAAGTTAAGAAAAAATGTATTTAGTTATGGAAAATTTGGTAAAAAGAATCCTGTTTAAAAATTTAATTATTTAAAAGGATCTAAATTTGAGCACATGCAACTATAATTCGTAAGTGTAATATATCTTCTATTATGTACAAATATTATTAATAATGTGCAACAATTATTAATATGAAAGTTATTTACACACACCAGAAGATATGTTATATTTACGGATTATAATTGTACTCGTTCAAATTTGATTTTTTTAGTTAGTTAAATTTTTAAACAGAGATTTTTAACCAGATTTTCTAGTTATATACATATTGGCCTTCACATCAACACATTATTTATTAAAAAAAATTAAACCCATGTATAATGGGTATTAAATAATAAACATTAGGTGGAGGAAATATACAAATTTTGTAAAGAAAATTTTATCAACATTTTATTGAATTTTTATACTTAACTAGCTTTGTATAGTTCATATATGAAGTACATGTAATTTATATAAGAATATATAATGAAAGATTATTTAATTCATAAATATTAAATTAAAATATTGTTTTTTTTCCCCAAAAAAATTAAAATATTTTTTGGGGGTAAGAAAAACAAGTCCACACCGCATATCCATGCGGAAGCTACAACACGAGACAAAAAAGAAAAGCCAAGTCACAGCCATCCGTTTATCTCATTTCTCCACCATACACACGTATCTCTCTGTTCTGCCATGAACTCAGAAAACAGAACATGAACCTCATTCTATAATAACGCTACTCTCTCTCTCTCTCTCTCTCTCTCTCTCTCTCAACTTGAATTCAGGCATCGAAAATGTCGGCCAGTGCAAGCTTGCTGGGCTATGGAGGAGCGACCTCACTGAACCCAAAGAAGCTGCAATTTGTTCAGCAGCAGCAAAAGTATAACGTTGGGGTTGGGAAGACGAAGACGGCGAAGACGAGTGGTGGGGTAGTGATCAGGTGCAGTAGTAATAGTGATGGTGGTGGGATAGGGATCGGAGATTTCATAGGAGGCGACCTGCTGAGGCTCGATCTTGGGAAATGGCTATCTGATGTGGAAGAACACAAAGCTCTGGCCATATATTCTCCTCATGAAGGTGGGTATGAAGGAAGGTACTTTACTCGTTTGAGATATCAGGGCTACTATTTCCTTGACCTCTCTGCTCGTGGCCTTGGTGACCCGGAAGCTACCCTCACCAAGATTCATCCTGTTTGCCCTGTGAGTTCCTTCTTCATTTCTTCTTGTTTAATACTCATATCAAATGTATGACATGATCAGAGTCACATGCTAACTTAAGGCTGCAAGACACCTTAGCAATACATTAACACCGTGAGAGGCTTTATAGTCTAATGACATAAAAGCTCTTCTGCGAGAGGTAATTTAAGAGGCACATGGTAATTTGAGGTTACCAGACACCTTACTAAAATATTGACACTATGTCAATGGCCTTGTAGTCTAATAACATAAAAGCTGCTTTCCGAGGAATAATTTAAGGGTCAAATAGTAATTTAAGGTTACCAGACACCTTAACAAAGTATTGACACTGTGTCAGTAGCCTTATAGTTTAATGATATGAAGGCTTTTCTCCAAGAAGTATTTTAAGAGTCACATGGTAATTTAAGGTCACCAGACACCTTAACAAAATATTGATACTATGTTAGTGGCCTTGTAGTCTAATGACATGAAAGCTCCTCTCTAAGAGATGACGCATTCAATTCCTCTTGTAAACTAAGTCATTAGTGTCTGCCGGTCTAACTCATGTACTTAGAATATAATATTTCCACTAACAAATCTTTTCTTGTCACGTGACTATTTTGGTGATAGGTTGTTATTCAGGGTTACATTAAGCATTAACTGCTGTGTATGATGGGTGTTGCTCAAGTTTACCCCTTTTTTATGAATGTTTTAGGCTCATGTTGGGAAGCAGCCAATAGCGAGGTGGTATTTTCCACCTGAGGTTGATTACAGATTAAAAGCACTTCCACCTGATGCCAAAGGACTTGTTGTGTGGATCATTGAAGCCAAGGTTGGCATTACAGCCTCACTTCTGCCCTATTTATTTGTTAAATATATTTTTGAATGAATTCAATTAACACAAGATGAATTAACTATGTTATGTTTTCACAATAATTTACTTCTAACTTGTGCTCATGTTTTTTTGTCATTGGCTTGTTCTACTAATCTTATGGTTTGTCATCCAAATTTACGTGAAAAGTTTCTATTTTTCAATAATTAAACTAAGGATTAGTGTGTTTCCTAGACAAATATATTAGCTTAGCATCCATTTGTATCAAGCAGGAAAGGTTTTTTTTTCTTTGTCTGTAATGTTTTTATAATTATTACTTAACTAGTTAATAATTTAGCTGTACCTAATTTGCATTGCATTGAATTTAAGAAATGAGGCACACTGATCATGGCGCGAGAAAAATTAAAAATGTGGTTTGCTATAAATTTTAAAAACAATGATGATTTTCATCCATTAAAACATTATTTTTTAAAAACTATGAACATGGAAGTCACTTTTAATTTTAGAAATTTTCCCACTTTATCTTTTATTTCATCTGATTTTTTTTGTCGGGTTCTATAGGTTCTTTCCAAGGCAGAATTACAGTTCCTTGCTCTACTGCCTACACTTCGGCCTAAAGTGAGGGTCATTGCTGAATGTGGAAACTGGTAAATGGACATTCTTCCGTTTCTTTTCCTTTTCTATGCAATCTTTTTTTTATTACTTATCCCACAAAATTGGTTTTCCCCTTTATCTTTTTTTTTTGGGGGGAAAAATGTGTTGGAGGATTAAATTACAATCTTCGCATTTCCATATCGTTTCAGTTGAATCCTGTCACATATTATCCTTCCATGCCAACAAGAGTTTCCTCCTTGTGCAGGAGAAAGTTCATGTGGAGGCCACTGAAAGAAATAGCTGGCTTAACCAGTGAAGCAGCTTGATCATCACGTATAACCTTCACCATTTTCCATCAGCAAAAACGAGTACATTCAGGCCTTTCATTACTCTCACCTTCAAAACACCAAGGTGTACTGAGGAGAAGCGTGTGGAGACAATTTTTTTTTTTTTCATTTATTTGTAAATATTAAGATTTTTCCCAACCATGAGTAATATAAATTCCGCTCAAAGCATGAGAACATTCCCTCCAAACATGATATTCTTCAAATTCTAGTTCAGTCAAAATTTTGAATTAGTTTCAGTGTGTGTGTGTCTAATCTGTAAATGACAGAAAATTTGACTTTCATGAATTGATAAAGAGGAAAGCAGTAGTTAATTAGCTACACAAAACTATTATGCTACAAAAGAACACAACGAAACGTGGAACCCTTGCAGGACTCCAACATATTCTATCAAAAAATGGATATACAAAAACACTTGTAATTGTTAAGGAACATCCTAATTAACTGTACAAGATCTTCAACAGTGATGCACAGGCTTCTAAAGGCTGCTGGTAGGTATGCTGCACTTTCTGTCTGCCAAAAAAGCTGCTAGCCTCTTGTAAATTTTGTCTGTAATTAATTCACAAAAATAATATAGTTGATGCACCTGAATGAGGAGAATACTAAAGTCTCCTCTTTCCACGTCTGCCAGTGTCTATGTCAACTAGTCTTGATGTCGAATGTGCCGGTGCTGGTGCTTGCAGACCGATGGATTCTGGGATATCAAGATTGACCCCCATAGGCGGACCTGCCATTGCACGCTTGATGTCCAACTCATTGAATTGAAGAACTTCAATTCTTGTTTTGTCAACCTGTTAAGTATTCAAATTAATGAACTAAAGAAGAAGTGAATAAAAATTCCAACAAATAATTCAAACATGTCTTTATTACTATTTCAATATGATGAATGGATGCATGCGCATCTGCAAGTCTCTTTTGCAGTTCTTCTGTTCTTTTGGCTTGATACTCAGAATTCTCCATTTCATTTCCCCTTTCTCCTAACTCCTGATATAAACCTGAAAGGATCAGAAGGCGTGTATATGTTTATAACCGTAGAGAGCTGAAAGTGATTCTCCATCAATTTACCAAAAAAAGGGGAATACAGATGAAAGAACACTATCATTGAAAAAGAAAAGGCAGGCAAATACAAAAAAAAAGACGCTATATGACCCCTATAGTTTCCAGCAAATATAATTCCAAACTAGTGTTTGTCAAAGAGTGACAAAAAAAATTTTAGCACTCGAAAACTTCTGAAGTGTGAGGCTAAGAAATACCGGTCAAGACAGAAAGCACCCAGATCTGAGTTGGGATATCATAAAGCTTCTTCGCCAAGGTCAAGGACGATCTCAATATCTCCCTGGCCTGTACAGTATCATGTAATGCTAGCGCCAAACTGCCAAGGATTGTCAAATACTGAGAAACGAGTTGAAGGTTCCCCAAATAACTGTGTGTCAACTGCAATCCCCTTGCCAGGCGGTTCCTGCGACAAATATGTACATTAATAGGTGGTTAGAGAAAGTTACATATCCCGATGGAAAAAAAATCTAGTTACATGAAAGATTTTACTTGCGAGAATATTTAATTTGAAGATTGAAGGAATATCTAATTATACATATGTTGATTATTCTAAGAAACAAGAAAAGAAGGGACAGTGAAAAGGAACTCTTCCAATTGTTCTACTATATTTGGTTTCCAGCAAGCAAAAGGCATAGCACTTTGTCCTTATCGTTAGTGTACCCTTTTCATACTTGTGGACTTTGTATTTTCTTTATAATTCCTCTATGTCCGTGAAATACTCTGGAAGGCTTTATAATTGTCTTTTAAGGCACTGTTATGACCTTGCATTGCTATGAAGGTTGTAGCTCAATTAACCTGGAAACTGAAGAAAATAAAGTCTTAAAAATCAAAGACCGAATTTCTTATAAAGATAGATTACAAAGTATATCAACTTATGACCTACTGAAGAAGTCCATACATCTGCTGCTGAACTCTATCCTAATTTTGTAGAAATTTCAATCCTGTTCTTTATACTTGTCAACAAAAAGAACTACCTCAACACGCACATAAAGTCCTCATGGCATCAAAATTACCGAAGACTTACCTTGCTTCCTGAAGATCCTGCTGCTTCATCAATAAAAGGCCATAAGCAAAAAGGACACCCGTTTTCTCTCTAACTCCTACAAAAGAATCCATTACTCCATAAACTGGTCCAATCAAATCAAGAGCCTGCAGGAAAACTAATATTAAGTTATTATATATTGCACATAGGATTAAATTAATTCAAGTAACAACATTTAATACCAAATGAAATTGTATTCAGGGGTATTACTCCACCTGTGAAGAAGATTCTGCATCACCAATGCAGATATAAGAGACAGCTGCATACACTTGGCACATAGCTTGCATCGCTTTGCTCTCTGTAAGCTGCACAAAGCATGCATTTACTTTTGGATACATGAAGTCATCCCTATCTACACATTCTAGCAAGATCCATGCATTAAAACATAAATATGCTACGTAGCAAGTGAAAGCCACATATGGACTTATCAACATTACCCAAAATACAGAAGATGCATTTGGACCGCTAAAACTGTATCAACTATAATTTATAGACATATACCTTGGCTGCTTCAATATAATGAAAAGTAGCTTCACTATAACAGCCAACCGAATGTGCATACTGCCCACGTAGCATCTCAATGATGCACTCACAAGCCTGTAATATAGTTGGAAACCGCATGAACAAGGTTTTCATCTGCACCAAAGCCTGAAAATTTGCAGACGATATCATTAATATTTCCACTGAAAGCTCGTGAAACTCAATAGCGCATTGATCATACATATCAAGAATCATAAAGTAAATGACTCAGTCGTAAATTGTAATACATATCAGATGATAAAGCTGGCGGGAACCTACATTATGAATCCATAGCATGTCAGTCAAACAGATCGTGAATCATAAAGCATATTATTGAATCATGAGTTGTAAAACATATCAAATAATAATATTCAGTAATATGTGAAAATCAGCATGAATACAAAATCTGACGTGTGTCTTTACAATCGGCATATCTCAAGATAGCTAACCTAAGATCAAGAAAGGTACTTAAACATATAGATAAGCTATCATACAACTTGTTAGTCATTAATTCTAGAAATAATATCTAGTAATATCCCTGCTTACTTTCACCATGAAAGGACACAGACAACACTTAACAACAATACAAAACTGTCAAGCCGACTCACTGGTTTCACTCAATTCTGAATCACAAACTTGCACTATTCAGCCACATTAGCTTGAATCACACCATTGAATGATATGATTTTAATTAATATGCCCAATAGTACAGGATAAATATCACCAGAAGAAACCTAGCTAATATCTTGAATTATAATTGATTTGCAATTTTGTGAAATAAAATCAAGCTACCATGCCTATCACCCTACAAGTCGACAAAATATGGAAAACCAAAGGCTGACACAAACCTCCTGTGCTTCAACAAATTCAGCTCGAGTGAGCTCTACAGCCACTTTGTTTTCAAGAAACTGCATCAGTAGCATTAGATACACTCCAGCCATCCAGATGGCAGAGTGTTGCAAGTCCACTTCTGCTAAAAAGAAAAAGTCAAGAGGATTGCTTAGGGGGCCTTGCTTGCATGAACATCTAGCAAACATGAAAGAATGATGAATCTCACCTCTTGTGGCATCAGTTATTCCTAGCTTTACTAACTCATCTGCAAGAAACCATTCACTCATCAATTATATTTTCGAGAACTACTTGTTAAAACAAATCTCATTTACTAATTGACAATTTGATCGATTATTGCTTCCCAAGTGTATTTGACATAAATTAGCTGGCAACTGGAAAAGATCTTTGGCAAGTATGATTTCATAAGAATAATAGCCAGCCACAATGTTAACTGGAAATTCTAGGTAAAAGGACATGGCACACCCAACATCAAAGTTCACATGTGTTTATGTACAGGTTGTTCATTTGAATTTTTCTTTTCATCACGCTCACATAAAGCCTTTAGTATTTTGGATTTCTAACCAGCAGTAGTGATGCCTGCTTTCTAATGGTTTTCAGTTAAAGGCTATTCACTAATTAAGAACAAATCAACCAAAAAAAAAAAATCACAGAAGTGGCTTTATCCAGTGAAATGAACCTTGAATTATAGAAATTCCAGACTGTATTCGCTTTCCACACTCTTTAAAAAGTCCTTTCGGGCGTCCAAATATAACTGCCATAAGATCAACTAGTGCATAGACAGCACTTTTAGGAAGCCATTCGCCATCAATGGGAGGAGGTGCTAGCTGAAGCTTATCTCCCAGTGTCCTTCTAACATTCCCAAAGTATACAGGTTCAAGAGACTCTCGCCCATTCAAACTCAATCCATTCATGTTTCTCAGCTGCTCCTCAATCAGTGATTGTTTTTCAGATAGTGCAGCCCTTTCCCGGTAGTGAAGATCAGACCGGGAGAGACTTTGATTTAAGGCATTCAGTTCCTTCATCAGCTCTTGCATATGCTGTGTCTGCTGCATATCAGCCTTCATGGCAGCATCCAATTTGTCTACATGCGGTGCAGCATTCTTGTAATCACATAACCTCAGTCGATAGAATATGTGAAGCAATTCGTTGTAAAAGATTAGGCCAATGCATTGTTGTCTCTGACAAGTGCAAGCAAACAAGGAACATATAAGAAACCAGACTAGATCTAAAGAAAAAAGATCACAAGTCATGATGGTGCCCAGGTGTAAACAAGAGTGTGCATTGCATACACTAAAAAGCAATAAGGTAGGTAAGGTATATCTGCACTTACTTTATTAGATTCTATGGACTCCCAAATCTCGTTGCATTTATTAACAGCTAGCTCAACCAATTTATCATCATCCCATTGCATGAGGTGGACGTGCAATATAGAAGTGGCAAAAAACATCTGGTACATAGGAATGAAAAAATGAAATTACAAATAGATATATGGGATACCTCACAATAATCTTGGGAGATTGACGGATTATCCTTTGAGCATACAGAATTTCAAATATTCACGTGTTCTAGCTTGTCATTTTGTATAAAGACGTAGGATAATGGCTCTGATTAATAAAGAAGAAAGAGGGCAGTTCAAATCAATATTAAAATCAATATATGATATAAAATCCACAGCAAGTTGCATTATTCATCAACTATGAGTGCGGCTAAAAGGTTAGATTTCGTGCAATACAAGGAATCATACATCACAAATAGCATAATAAAGGCATTTTTTAGTACAGGACGGGAATGTGGGAAACTACTAGAGGATTTTCTGTCACAGTAATAAATTATTATACAATGATCAATGAAAAGTACAGAAGAAAATCAGGAATCAGAGGACATGTCCATTCTTTCAATCACAAACCTGCAACTCCAGGTAACCAATTTCTGTAGCACAGGCATATCCACACTCTAAGGCAGAGATTGAACCTCGGTAATCTCCTTCAATAATCAAAGCATTTGCAAGCTGTGAATTGAAGTTGCAAGACCACAGCTTCATTGAAATCCTACAAGAAATTATGATTGTGTTATCATAGGCACGATAGTCAATGCAAAGTAACATACAACACAAATTACAGTCTTATTCACAACCCATTATGAAGAAAATATAACATAAATCATTTACTAAGTTCCTCATCTAAGATCGTAAGTGAAAATTTACCATTGGCTTATCAAATACTGAATAACTTGGACACTAATAAGAGACCAGTTTTTATGAATAAAAGAAACACAAAATTCAAGCTAATGAATAATGCATAATATGCATATGGGGAACATGCCAAACTAACAAGCGGATATCAGTAAACTCTTAACTTTTGGGAAAACAGAGCAAGAATAATTGTAAAATTTATACAAATGAAAATACATTCAGAAAAAGGAATTTGAATAAAAAAATTTAAATGTTTTGACCATCCTTCCAATTGCTTGCGGACATTGTTTCAACATTATATAACTAACACTTTGTCATCTGGCTTTGAACACGAAGGAAACAAGGAAAGATATAAATTATCAAAGGTATTAGACCACAGACAGAAAATCAAAACAAAGATTCAATTGGGTCAGATGTTCCAATTCCAACAGTTCAAAAATATTTTAACTCATAAAGTTCTTTCTGTAATTTTTATATGGAATATGTTACTAGCATGTGCCATGTCCAGTATCGTTTGATCATGAGATCTTGCTTTGTTGCAGTGCCCATCATGTTTCAGAAATCATAACTAAAAAACTCTTCCAACATTTTTTAAGATAACAAGCAAAAGTATCCATACTCATATCCAGCAGATGCAGTAAGTTCTAGGCCCTTTTGTAGTATCTGCTTTTGAGGTGGAATAGCTCCAACGAGATGGTAGCACTGGCTAAGTAAGCTATATGCTCTGCACTTCAATTCGAAGCAAGATGGTATTGACTTCAAAAGCAGTTGCTGAAACAGGAAGGAGAGATAATGTCATTCTAATACACGGTCAGCCATATGAATATGTTCATCTGTTCAGAAATAACAAAACAGCAAAAGACTGGAAATTAGTGTTAGCTTCCAGGTTTATCTCAGTGGTTTCAGAATCTAAATTAATGCTGAAAGCATGGAAGTCCATTCTGGCTAATTAATTCCAGGTGTTAAAGAGAAGCTTATTGGCTTCTGTATTAATTATACCTGCACAGAATTTTCTGAGAAAAGAGTAAAGAATTATGCATTGTCAAACCATCTCTCTTTTAACAATGACTTGTGCTGCCAGGGAACAATCAAATCTCACCCTTAACTGTATAATCTGAAGCGTTCCCATATATACTTTACATATTCCATGATGCCATCAAGCCTACCTGAATATCCAGTTAACCATATTCTAAAATGTCTTTAAAAATTCCAAATAATTTCTGTTCTTATTAACAATCTCCGTAGAAGCAGTAACTAATTAACTGACACCAAGAGCAACACTTAAAAACAGATTCTAGCAACCAAAAGATAATGTTAGGGATTTCATTAATCAATGGAAAGTTATTATAGACACTTTTCATAGACTAAAGTTTATGCAGGAACAACTGTCAGACGGAAAAGTACTTTTAACCTACTGGACTACGACTGAACTCCAATGTGAAGAATTAGCAGTGCCATACTCTTCTGAGTAATGTAGAAGTCAAAACCACGACATTGCTTATCTTGGGAAGATTGTTTGTTGCCAACAAAGTAGTCTCATATATGACACCAATCTAAGTCTTTAAGTATGTGGTGAACTTGATATGAGACTGAGTTGAATGGAAGTTTCCTACCTCTTCCCCTTCTCATTCCCAGTTACTATCATAAGCATCTCCTATGTAAACCTCAAATTCTTACTGGCAAAGAAAGTAGCAGGCTGAGGACAGAAAACATGACTTTGGACCTTATCCAATGCATAAGGCAAGAATAAAATCTTAATTCAAGCAGGTTCTTTCAGAGTGGCCTGAAAATATGTTTGCCTAGACATTTTTATATGGAATATGTTTGCCTGAAAATATGTCTTTTTGAGTGTCTTATAGGAACTTGAGAAAGTTCATAGACAAAGAAAAATATAATCAATTACATAATTCAAAGTTCAGCGAAGCTGGTGTCAAAATTCAAATATACAGCCCCATTCAAATGGTTAAAAAGGGAACCATCTAAGCTGCAACCAAGGAATTGGACAATCTCTAACATTTTAGAGAGCACTTGCAACTTCCTTTTCTTTTCTTTCTTTACTTAGCGGGCAGTCACCTGACCTATTTTCAAGGCAGTCAAAGACAAAAGGTGGTCTTTGAAGCACTAGACATCTAAAATGTCTCGGGTGAAACATCTGAAAGCGCACATGTTAAAGTGATACAAGAAACTAAGGAAGAACAACAATTTTATGCTATATAAAACAAAATAGATACATGTAAATTTGAAATGTTATTGACATAAATTAAGAAATCAAGGCAATCAAAGGCAAAAGGTGGTCTTTGAAGCACTAGATATCTAAAATGTCTCAGGTAAAACATCTGAAATCGCACATGTTAAAGTGATACAAGAAACTAAGGAAGAACATCAATTTTATGCTATATAAAACAAAATAGATACATGTAAATTTGAAATGATATTGAAATAAATTAGGAAAAAAGGTATGACATAAATAATAGTTTAAAATAAGACTAAATAGTCTACCCTGTTCTCTTAAATCTCTAAGGATAGGCTGAACATCTAAGGTTTACTTTTGTGGTTTCCTATTTGACCTCATTACTATTTTTAGTTTTTTGAGTTTCACTTACAAGTTGACCCTTATCCTGTTGCATGCAAACACAGAGGCACCTAAGGCGCAAATCTGGAATGACAGAAAAAGCGCCAAAGGGTGCTCACTTTAGAGACCACGGATGAAGGCAGCGCCTATGACACCATGAGAGGTGCTGACCATGAATAGTTCCTTGCCTGTGGTAAAAGTAAGCATCTTTGGCATCACTTCCTATTTGAACCAATATTCTGTCCACTATTTGGTTCTGAAAGGGAAATTCTTTAACTCAATGCCATGTAGATTGAAAAAATGGACAATGCTTGCTCAATGTAAATGCTCCTTAGATCCAAAAATATGATAAATATTTGGAGTAAATCAATCGAGACAATTATAACCTCGAGGTCAATGCAGGTGTAGATTCAAAAAATGGAAAATGATTGCTGCCTACAAATGCTCCCCAGATGAGGCTGTCAAAGAGGCGCCTATAAAATTATCTGACTTTAAAGGTCAAAGGGATCAATGCCGGATGTCTGATTTCAATTCCACAAATTCAAAAAAAAAATATATATATGAAGGGGGCGAAAGAAACAGGGCAAAATTGTTATATTGGTTTTGCCAATATGTTAATCAGTTTCTACTGTTCATGTATTACTTAGTTTTGCAATCACCTTAAAGGCTAATTAATGCGCCGAGAGCTCATAATTGAACTAATTGAGCTCATACTCGACGCCACAAGACCGATAATTACCAAAGACAAAATCACCATAAGTGAGTACCAAACAAACACACCCGTAATATAGCAGCGGAAACTGAGGAAACATGATATGCAAATCAAATCCAACAAGAAAAAGCCAAAAAAAAGGTACTAACAGAACGCTCGAGGTGAGCCTTGGCGTGATTAACATTGTGGGAGTGCTTGAGAAGGAGAGTAGCGATGCGGAGGCGAGTTTTGACCTCGACAATTGGGAAGAAGGAGACTTGGCTCTGACAAATAGCTTCAAGGCACTTCACTGCCTTCCCAATTTCTCCTTTGTTCTCATGATAGTCAGCAAGACCCCACAGTCCTTCAGCTACGGCCTCCATCTTCTACTTCTTCTTCTTCTTCCTTTTCAAATTTCACTCACTCACTTTGATTTAGAAACAGAGGGAAACTAAATTCAGTTTACCTCCTCCATTTCCATATCCGTCACTCCAATTCCCTCGTTGTAAGACAAAAGCCGGAAGAAACGAAGAAGAACGCTACAGGTCTCTCTTTTTCTTTTTCTTTTTTCCTTTTTCCCCTTTGTGTTTTTTAATTTTAATTTTAATTTTGTCAATTTCCTTCCTTGCGGAGTCAATCATTTATCGAAAATAATATTTCATTTTGTTTATTATTTATCCATACTTTAATTATATGAAATCTTTTATTTAAAAAGGAAAGAATTATAATAAGATCCTAATAAAAAAATAATTACCAATAATTTTAATGATAAATGAGTAGTTATCATCAATCATCAATTAGCAACTATCACCATCAATCAACTAATCAACTACTAATATTCTTCAAAACTTCTAATACCCGATTCGTTTACAAATGGGTCAGATATGATATTATATGATCCAAATATATTTAATTAATGAAATTTGAATAACATGTTGATTGGGATTTGAACATGTTGAATTAAATGAGATTTTAATTAGAGGAATGAAGAAATTAATAATTAATTTGAATTTGAATAATATCTTAATTTGGAATTGAATATATTGAATTAAATAGAAGGCATCATAATTAAATGATATGCTAATGGGGCTTAAATGGAAAAATAATTAATTAATTTCAATTTTTCATATATTTTTTTAAATTTTGCATCTCTAATTTAAATCCTATTTAAATAAATAAAAAATTTATACTCTTATAAGAAATAAATCTTGAAACACCTTAAATAATGCAATTTATTAGAATTTTAAATTTAATCAAATATGTTAATCTGTGCATCGTAAGAAAGAAAAATTTCTAATTTATTACTCTAGACCTTGTAATTACAAGCTACTATGTTATCATTGAAACTTTTTAGTAATTATATTTTTTACCTTAAACTTCATTTTAATTTTCTCTTTAAAAAATTTATTTTTAGTCTTTTAACCATTAGTAGTTTTCAATTTTTTTTTTACAACAATTAGGTTTTAAATAATAATTTTTTTAACAATTTTTTAAAAATTAAATTTATTATGTTAGTATTTAAGAATATTTTATCAATAATTAAGATCTTAATGTCATATTTTTTATTAACAATTTTATGATTAAAAGATTAAAAATATACTTTTTCTAATATTATATTAACAATTAAAAATGTTTTATCAACAATTACGATTATTTTTTTAATTAAAAGATTAAAATAAACCCTCCTGTAGCAAAGAGCCTCTCTTAAATTTGCAGTGGGATGGATTATTGCAACTACTTGACTCATATCTCTAGTGGAGAAAATTACACACAGGTTTTAAAGAAGAGACTTTATTTATCTAAGATCTTACAAAATGTCAAGATTACTACTAGGTTTTAAGAGATCTTAGAATATTATATTCTAATTGTAAAATGACATCACTACCTCTCAGATTCTCAATTTACATTTTCTTTACCATTGCGACTAACAACCTCAGCAGTGATTATTAACAACCTAATGAGAAGGTGTTGACAACTTAAATAGTATCCGCTTACAATTTTTTTTATATGATCACATAACCTCCACATAAAAGTAAATTATAACCAAATAGTATCATACAAAAAAACTTTAACACTGAAATGGAAGTTTTTCGAAACCATTAAGAACTTTAACTAAACCCAATGGGATTATAGCAAAATTTTAATACGAAGATCCATTGACAACCTCAATAGTAAGTATTAATAACTCAAGGTGAGTTATTAACAACCTTTGCAGTTTCTGTTAACAACTGACTTTATAGGATAATATAACTTCTTACAACTATAACTAACTAAATTATAACTAATAGTGTTAAAGTTGATTTTATGTAATTGTTATGTTATACTATTTAGTTATAATTTGATCTTATGTAGAGATTATATTATCCTATAAAGTCAATTGTTAACAGACACTGCCTAGGTTGTTAATAGCTCTTTTTGGGTTATTAATACTTACCGTTAAAGTTGACAATAGATTTCCGTATTAAAATTTTATTATAATCCTGTCAGGTTTAGTTAAAATTCTTAATGGTTTTGAAAAGCTTCCTATTTCAGTGTTAAAGTTGTTGTATTATACTATTTGGTTATAATTTACTCTTATGTGAAGGTTATGTAATTCTATAAAAAAAGTTGTTAGCAGATACTGTTTAGGTTGTCAACACCTTTTCATTGGGTTGTTAGCAACCACTGCTGAGGTTGTTTATCCCAATAGTAGAGAAAATGTGAATTAGGAATTTGAGGGGTATTGAAGTCATTTTATAATTAGAATATAATACTCTAAAGTCCTTTAAGACCTGCAAATAATTTTGATATTTTGTAAGACTTTAGATGAATAAAATCTCCTCCTTAGAATATGTGTGTAATTTTTCCTTTCCAGTGTCCAAGTAGCACCTGTTATAGATCCTGGATCTTTTCTTGTTCTCAAGTTGTGTCCTCTTTCTTTCATTTTGTAAATTCCTATTATTGTACGGGTCCATTTGTTAACGTATTTTTATGCAGTTTTTTTATTAATGCATTTTTAATGTATAAGTCCTACTAGTAGTATTTTCTCTTCTTTTTTTTCAGACCACTCATATCCAATTTTTCACTTAACTTCTTACAAACTAATGTTTGTAAATCATAATAAAAATCTTTCCAAAACCAACTGATTTCAAATTTAACTTTAAAAAAAATAATTGGGCCACATAATTCAAGTAGTAAAATTTTAATTTCTTCCTCATAGTTAAAAATTTAATAATGTGAATTCAGTAAAAAAAAAATTAATTTAGACATGAAAATTTAACAATGTGAATAAGTTCAAGGTTTCCTAAAATTTATGTCAATTCATTTAGAAATTTTAATGGAAGTTTAGACAAAGTTTCATTCACAATATTATCATTTTGATCTACACAAAAATGCTATTGAGCTAATTTATGCATCAATTAGATAAAAATGTAACACGCCCACTATTAAACCAATCTTTTCTTAAAGAGTTAAAATACATCCAACACCCCGAAGTATTTCCTCGGGCTTGGATGCATCTAGTACCCTAAAATATTTTGTAGTGCATCCAATACTCTAAAGTATTATTTTAGATACATCTAGTTTTGTGAAGTATTTTTTGTTGCATTCAATACTAAGGCAAAAAAAAAATTTCTGGGTGCTGGATGCACCTAAAAAATGCTTTGGAGTGCTAGATACATCATAAAATACTTCGAAGTGCTAAATGAATATAAGAAAATACTTTAGAGTGTCAGATACACCTTAATGTTTTTTTTTTATAAATGACATGGGTTTTATATATAATTTTAGAAATGTGATCTGTGCATTTTAATTTGAATGGTTGAAATTAAACCTAGGGGTTTAGATTTCATAATTTTAGGGTAACTAATAAAATTGAACTCATTATCACTTATATGATCCGACCAAACACTATTCTTCATTCTTAATATATGGCTTAGTTGATTAATTCAAAGAGATTAATAAAGTTACTAAATTATTTGATTGTATCATATGATATATGTTCTCTCTAAAACATTTGTGTATATAATTAAATTATATATCAATTTATAATCAAAACGAATTAGTTTGGAAAAAAAATAAAGATAAATATTTTAAAATAATTTAGTAACTTTCTTAATTTCTTTAACTTTGTCATTATTTTTTTTGCTATTTAAATTAGTTAATTAGTTCCTGCGGTAGAGGAGTTTGCAGTAGGATTACATGGAGTTTTAGTGGGATGCATCCAACCAAATGGGCTCTTAATGTACAAAGTATGTAAGAGCGTATAGATTTTCGTTTTTGGCTATGGCAAACAAAATTAATGATACTTCTAATTATTTCTTTTGGTGAGGAAGCGATTTTAATTTTCAAAACAAATACAAAATTAGCAAAACGGAACATCCAAAAATATATCGAGAAAATGCCGTTTATTGGGAAACAACGATGATCGTCACTGCGAATATCGAGGAGATGTTTCGTTATAGTGTCCCTGAGAATTGTTTTGCTGATTGCATTTGCAGAGTCGGAAAAGCAGAGAGAGAGACCCCAAATAACACAATTTCTTCGGAGACTTCAATTCACGAAGACCCTCCGAAGGTCACCACTCTCTCTGCCATTGATCGATCCACAATTGTGAGAAATCACCATTCCATATCCTTTCAACAATTTCATCCTTTTAATCCCTTTTTCAATCTGTTTTATGTACGCAGATCTCTGCACTTTCGCTCATATCCGATTGATTCCATTGATAGTATGCATAATTATTAGGTAGGCTTCGTAGAATGAATCGAATTGTTCATGGCTAGATAATGCGGATAAATTTAGTTTTAGTTTATACTTTCGCACTAATGATCAAACTCGCTGCTGTTCATTCGAGCATTATGCTTGCATGCACATGATTTCAGCGTCAAATTTCTTATCTAGTTCTATTGGATGCAATTAACACTGGTTTTTGAGTCGTGCAGAAACGGTATTTAAATACCTGAAAGAAGAAAACAGAAAGAAGAAAAGGATTCGGAAGAAAAGTTAAGGAGAATATATAAAACAATGCCTCACTCGATGGAATTATTGGACGTTGCCGATTCTGAGTTCCTCAGCAGTACTGAGGATGAACTTGATGATGATGAATCGGAAGGCTCTGAATCAGAGATTGAGAAATACTTCGTCATTCCGACTGCTAAGAACCGATTGTTTGGCCGGAAAAGGCCTCTGCATGTGGTTCTAGGTGCCGGACTAGGTAATACCCGTCGGCTTATTCAACATCTAATTTGGTTCATTTCTTCATGCATTAAACGATTCCGAAGCTTCATTCCTCTCGCATTTTACGTTTAATCCATTAAGGATTTTTTATCGTGTGAATTAAATGGCAAGGGTACGCAAGGATCTGGAATCCGAGCAAAATGTTTTAAGGGAAATTAGTCCATACAATCTTGTTTCAACTGATTTTTGATCAAGATCTTATTGTCATATGGATCTAAATAAAATTATAATCAACAAGATTACGGATATTATATAAATGTAAGGAAATGATTATGAGTATAATAATTTTTCATTTGATACTAAATAAAAAATGAGGCCATTGGAGTAAGTTTGGCGCCTATATAAGAGAAAATGGTTGAACATCATTTGAGGTGATTTAGACATGTGCAAAGAAGGTCATTGGAGGCGTCGTTGAGTAAGATAGATCAGACAGTTTGAAATCCTATAAAAAGTGGCGGAAGAAGATCAAAAAGAACACTCAATGAGGTCATTGAATGAAATCTCCTCTGATCAACAACATATTTAAAAACTTGGTTGTTAATAGAGCACAATAATATCGTGCAATCTTTATAGCCGACTCTACCTAATGGGATAAGGCTTATTGTTGTTATTAACAAATAATGTTTATTATATCATTCTATTTTTAAAAAAACTTCTTTTTATTTTGTATTTTCCGACAACTCACGTCTCTTTTAGTCGGCACTCAAATTTGTTATAGTTAACAGATTATGAATATGGGGACTAATGCTTACAAATAAAAAAAGAAAGAAAAAATTATAAAAACTTGATTAAAAATCAGATGAAAATATAAGGTTGCGGATTAATTTTCTCAATGTTTGATAATTAGTTTTGTAGAACGTTACGGTGGCATCACTTGGCTTTCTTTCTCTTTATTAGCTGCTGATATTATGCTCTGGAGGGACAAGAACGTCTCAGCAAGCATTCTCGCAGGCCTATCGATCATATGGTTTCTCTTTGAGGGGTTGGGCTACAATCTGCTTACATTCTTTTGCCATTCTGTACTTCTCCTATTGGCAACGCTGTTCCTGTGGTCAAGTTTTGGCCCTGCAGCCAACTTGTGAGTTTTCTCTCAAAATCAAACTTAAAATACTTTATATTCCCTATGTTAAGGCACTTTATTTATAACACATTCATTCCATTGAAGATAGTATTTCCTTTTTGTTTTGATACGATTGTATTTCCTATTTTGGAAGTGATTATCCGTTGTTGTTTCAGCATTACCTTGTCTTCGCCGTACTACACTCTCCTCTCTGTTTCTCTGTTTTTCCTTTTGGGCCGGCAACCATGTTATACTCTTCTAAGTAGCTATGCATTTATAGAGGTGTTTGATTTGAATCAATCTACCAAATGTATTAATTGTACCCCGTGTGTGTTGTTTTTCCCAATATCCTTATTTATCTCCTCATCTTGATCGATGTTGCTTTTTACAGGCCTCCACTTGACTTTACAGATATTGTCTTGCCCGAAAAGCTGCTTGCTAATGCTGCTGTTTCATTGAGATATGATATTATCCAAGGATTGAGATCCCTTGGTGACGTAGCTCTCGGACAAGATCTGAAGCAATTTCTCTTTGTACTTTCTCAGCATCCTCCTATACTCACTTATTGTTCGTTCCACACTGTCATCTAGTTTTCCCTGACACTAAATTGAATCTACAGGTTACGGTTACACTGTGGGGTCTCTCTGCTGTTGGTGCTAGGTTCACCTTTGTAACTTTCTTCTACATAGGTCAGCCACCAACTGCTTAATGTAAATCCTGCAAATTCATCATCGATTCATAGCCTAATCAACATAACCATGCTATAAATAATAGCCTAGATCGTATCCTCCCCACTGTCAGTCATAAATCAGGAATAGTAAAAGTAAGCACTGGTAAAATCTATGCGCGTATAAAATCTGACTTGATAACACAAGCTACATTATTTATGAACTATGACTAATGAGATTTTGTCCATAACTTTATTCACAAGCTGCATGAATAATGCAACTTGCATTGGGTTTCATGCCTCTCCTAATCTCTTCTCTATACCTTTTTTTTTTTCAAGTTTGAATTTTGAATTTCACACATAAAATTTTGTTCAAGTCAATAATGCAACTTGCATTGGGTTTCATGCCTCTCCTTATCTCTTCTCTATACCCTTTTTTTCCAAGTTAGAATTTTGAATTTCACACATAAAATTTTGTTCAAGTCAATATATTTTTCAATGGAAAAAGTTTCTTTCAGGTTATTATTTATCATGCATATTGCATGAAGAAGTCTAGTTGTATTTATCATTAGATTTAGGAAGAATGACAAAAAAGGAAGTTAGAAATTATTAAATCCCAAATCAAATTTATAACAACACTTCATTTAGTGTTGACAATACTGAATTTATAAATAAAAACAATTTTTGTTAATATTTCTTATTTAATATTTAAAAATTTTTAGCTTCCTTTTTTGCCATTTTCCCTTAGATTTATTGCACAAAGTAATTTAGTTAAACACTATATTTTATAGGTTTATTTGCTGAAGACAAGAAGTCATGTCAGTTCTAACGTGCTCTTTCGTTTATTTTGCTGGTAGTGTCTGTCATATTGCTGATAGTGCCAATGGTATATGAAAAGTATGAGGATCTTATCGACATCATTGCCGAAAAGGTATTGATAGAACTGAATAATCAATATGCCGCAGTGAAGAAAATGGTTTTGAGGGAATTGCACGCAGCCATTGTTGCCAGCGAGCAATCTAGATTGTATGTCAACTAATATATATTAGAGGTACAGCAATTCTCGTTCTGCTTGGTATGGATGAATCGGATTTTACAAGTCATGCAAGATTCAGCTTCTGCTTGTTTTTTTTTTCTCTCGCTGAGGTTGATGTCAGGGATGCACTCAAATCAAAGTTGCTTCATAATCGTGTTTAGTAACGCCTTCTTGCATTGTGATAAATACACTAGGAGTGACCTAGCAGGTTCAGTAATTTTGATTTTGCTACGCTTTGTATCAAAGAGGTACTCGACTTGTTCATATTGGTTATTGATTATTTCCATTCAAAAGACTTGTTTTATTCAGCATAGCAATTGATGTAACATCCAAAAGGTTCTGTAAGATAAACCATTTCATAATCAAATTCTCACCCTCCACAAAGGGATTCTTCTCATTTGGCCCTACTTCAAATTTGTATGAAGAGAATACATGCAGTGCAGAATTGCAGATGTAGGAAACAATTTTCGCTGGCGGAAGCATGCAGCACCATTGTTTGCCTGCTTTGAATTACCAATTCTCCAAAGAATTTGATGGTGATAATAGGATAAGGCACAACATTGTTTGAAGTGTCAATGAACGGTTTAACAGGAAGCTTTTACACACTGTTACTGGATTCAGGTAACTGAATGTGAGATTTTAAGTCAAATTATTTACTAAACTATTGTAGAAGGAAATTAATATTCAGGACTTCACATACAAGTCTTAAACTACACAAAGAAAGACTAATTCCATGGCATTATCTATACTTTCCTCACATGAGATACAGATGCAATTCCTAGACCCTATAATTGTAAGCATAACTTGATTTCAGGGAAACATATTGCATTCACAAAAAATTACAAAGCTGAATGGAAATTTCACCAACTTCAACCACCAGGTAGTAACGATTTAAAAAGCCTCAGGAGAGAAGTCTAATGAAGACTATTAGCAAAACAAATTGAAGAATATCTCAAGCCTGCACCTCTTTCTTCTGTCCAGGAGGCAAAAATGGTTCCCACCATCCAAATTTGTACTTGGGATAGGGTGCCACCCATTTTTCTGGCTTCTCAAACTCTAGATTGACAGGATTGGAGGCTAGTGCTTCTTCTAGACTCTCAGCTTCAAAGCTTTCTGATAGAACTCGATCCAGTCTCAGCTTCATGAATCTGCTTGACACATAAGATCAGAGTTACAAGGTGGATAAGACATTAAAAAAATTGCATTTGATGCTGTTTTGATAACTTCCATTCCGGAGTTTTTGTCTCCTACACAGTCCATTTTCTTCTTGGCTTATTGTTGCTTCGTTATATTCTTTGATTTTATGGAACTCTTATCAGCCAGACCCAGGCAAAAGAAATCTAGAGGAAACTAACATTTAGAACCCCAATATCCACATGGCAAAACTGACACTAACTAGAATCTCGAAGGAGAAACGAAAGCTGATTGGGAGGAAGATAGGACTTCTAGGCAAAACCATGGCATAAGAATTAAGAAATTTCCCTTTTAGCCCCATCATGCCTCAGCTTAACTCCAGTGATGGTGGTGGCTGAGATTTTTTGTTTTATGCCTACAAATCAAGGAAGCAGATTATGATGTTCCAATGTGAAGGCAAGGCATTCTATAAATTGTTGCATGCCTACAAACAACAACTAAACCCAAGATCTTCTTGCTGTCAAAAGAAACTTTTGACTTGTGGTCATGGACACAGATGAATTAGAGAATTCTCACACGTTTCACCCTTGTTATGAAGGCATCTCCAAACACTACTAGAATTTAATGTACCTATCTTTTAGTAGGAATTGTAGAACTTTCAGTTAATAACTGACAAAAGGGGGAAATCAATGTTCTTACGTGATCCAGGGACCGTTGGTCGACACAAGAGCAACAGCAGGTCTCTTTAATCTCTTGGTAATTTCAGGGAACCGATCCAAGAACTTAGGCTCAATCACTAGCCAGAAATCCTGTTCTTTGTTACGCTCCGCATAGTTACGAAGTTTTTCAAACAAGACTTCTTGGAAATGCTCCTCTTCATCCAGCATGAACTTTGCATTTGCAACAACAAAGTAATACTTGTTGTCTTTATTCTACAAGAATGACATCAAAATGGTCAGACCATTTACCATCAAAACCACACAAAAAAAGTTAGGACACAAATCACACGCCTAGAAATCACCAAGCACATTCTATCAAGAAAAGCATACCCTAGAAAATCTCAAATTACAGGCTAAAATGTTCCCATTAGAGAAGAATACTAATTAGTCCCTTTGAAAGCATCATTACTGATACGCACACTACGACAAAACAAAATCTGAAATGTCCAGGTTATAATTGAAAATTATGTTTTACAGAAGAAACCCCACAAGTGTTGGATAAGCAAATGGAAACCCTTTGTAGTCATAGAAGTGATTATACATGATACATCTGGAGGGAGAGAGACAGAAAGTGAGGATGAGCGTAAACAAGAGAAGTTAATCCCATACACAGTAATATAATCACCTGTTGTGTCACCCTCTCTGTCATATTTGTTGGACAAAGGGATATATAAGTTATAACATGGATTTGACAAAAACGAAGTATTACGAGTGAAGCATGGACATTGGAATAAATATAAGACATTGCTAGAAAATTAGAATAGATTACTAACTCCACTGAAAATCAATTATGGGTCCCAACAAAAATGGCAAAAATCAACGAGGAGACCAATTCTAGTATGAGAACAGAACAGCATAGAGAGAAAGACCTTGCTGGGAGGATCAGAACTGAGCTGATCAGAATCCACAGCAGCAACAGCTGGGGTGAAAGGTCCTGAAGGTCTAGAATCCTTGAAGGAGAAGGATAAGCCCCAATTATTGTGAGCACAACGAGACTTGAGTCCCATAGGTAACGATTCTGTGCGATTAAGGAGTTTCTGTCTTCTGCTGCTTCCTGGGAATGCCAGAGCAGAATACTGAGCTTGGGTCTGAGACGACGCCATTGTAGATGATGAACCCAGAGCTAGAGTGGCAACGCCTAGCATCATTATCCTCCTCTTTAAACCCTTCTTCTTCTTCTTCTTCTCCAAGGTTTGATCTTTCTGGGGGTGTGGGAAGTGTGTTCTATTGTATCGAGAGAGATGGGAGAAGGGAGGAAGACTATGGCAAATGGCACTCGGACAGCGAGACACTATCAGAGTTTCTTGGCGCAGACCTTATCCAGAGTTATCTTTTAATCTTGCAATACGTTACTTGTTTTTCACTTCCCATAATAACCTATGTGCTGCTTTTTCCCCAGAAAGCACCAATCTATGTGCTGGTTTCTATTTTGTTCTTTTTTTTTTTTTTGGGATAATTTTAGGAAAAGTTCTACTAAAGATTTCTTTTTTTTAAAAACGACATAAAAAATTAAATTTTTATTTCTTTAAAATTAGAAAATGGTCGTTGGTATTTTTTAGAATAATCAATATATTCCTCAAAATGTAAGATATTCCGAAAATATGCAATATTTTTTATTGTTGTCCTTTAATTACAATTCAAACCCAAATTAGTTATATCTAAAAGAAGACAATTTTTGGTCATTCTATCATTTTTAGTAATAGCTGATAAAAGCGAAGGTCCATTTCCACATAATGTTGGTTTGTGCCTTGGAAAACCAGGTTCACATGAGCAGCTATGTGACTCCTTTAAAAGCAAGGAATGTTGATAGATTCTCATATTAATTCATGACTTGGCGAAGAAACAATAATATATATATATATATATATATATATCCACCCCAAATGTTGCGTATGGTAATTTTATTACAAAATCTTATTTCAACGAGAATAGAGTATGTCCTTCAGTTGAATTATATAATTAATTTACAGAAGTTAAAAAATTAATTAAATTATACCACCACGCCATTTTTTTTAATGAAAATGAATATCCACTAACTCAAAAGAGAGATATAAAAATATAAATGCTCAAAATTCAAGCTTTTCATCACCTTCCATCTGCTTATCTGAACAGATAAAACGTGATCAAATAGGTAAAAATTGTCCTCGAGATCATAAGAAATTTTTGCTAGCTGGTGAGCCATTAAATTTTCCTCTCTGAACCTACGGTTAAATCACCTGATAGTCTCTACAGAGTAATTTAGCTTCATCTATAACATTGCTATAGGAGCAAGGATTATCACATGGCCTGATTAATAAATTCATAGCTTTTATGCAATCAAATAGGAGAAAAAGTTTTCTAATGTCCTTAGACGGTTAGACCAACACAAGCAGATGTTTCTGAATGATTCCTATTAGTTTTGCTGTGGCTGGAGAAACACTGGTTAGTTTACAACTCCAGCCAAAGATGGATCACCGTTTCCAAAGCTACATCACTGGTGCTGGTTTTCTTGGTTTTTTCCCCCCAGTAAATGAAGAATATTTTAATAATTAAATAGTAGTATTGTTGGCTGAAATGCTTTTCTGAAGAGTGCAAAAAAAAAAAAAGACAAGGAAAGTAGCCTCCAGTACCTTCAAGGTGTGAGCATTACTTTTTTTTTAGACTTAATTTGTCCACAATTATTCTTATTTTATAAAGAATAAGTTGGATTAACTAACAAATTTCTTTTAAGATACAATAAAGACACTTGAATATGGATTGCATTTTTAATATTCAAGTTGAGATGATGGTATTTACAAAATAATAATTTATCTTAACGTGCACTATAATGAGTTTGATTTCGGTGCACTTATACCACGTTGTATTTGTTGTCTCATCTAAGTGAAGTGATAGTGAGAGGTTTATATAAACTATAAAATGATGCATCTTACAATAATATCTCTTTAATTAAAAGTTATAAACGCATGTTGTCTCATGAACTACATTATTTGAATAGCCAAATGTTATTTAATAACTTTTTCATAAAGAATTGTATATTTTTAATATGTAAGGTTACCTTAAAAAAATAACACGATATTTCATCAAGTGATGGTTGTCACCCCTTTACATATATAATTTTAGAAACCAAATAGACACAACTTTAGTGACTTTTAGTATTGTAACTCCCTATATAACTCCTCATATAAATATATTAATTCAGATAAAAACACAACCATTCTTATAAATTTGTTAATTTGATAAATTCATATGAAGAAATGACTTTTGAAAAAACATATCTCTCTATTATGGAAATATTCCAACAAGTACTATTTAATTATATGGAACCCGCAGTGAAGTTTAAGATTTCTTTGGGTCTTTCATGCAATTATGTTGCTTTCAAGGGCCTTCAAGGATTTTCTCCCTCGAAAGGAGTAAGCAGGTAAACAACCCCGCGTCAGGCAGTTTTTTTTCTCGGTTCTTCGCGCTTCGCTGAAGATTTTTTTTTGTTTTGTTTTTTTAAAGACTTTCCCTGAAGTTTCTACTTACCCCAGTCCTTGCATTTTCTCCGATGCTTCTTATGATGTATTGTAATTCTGATATGGATCCTTGTCAGTTGTCACTTGCTTTGTTCGTTTGTGATTCACTTTGATTACCTAAAACGATTGTATATGACAATATTAAAAGAAGACCTCAGGAAATCTCTTTTCTAATTTTCTTCGGTCGCCCTAAAAAAATTGTAAAATCCCACAATATACTTCCAAGGAGTCATGAAAATGGAAAAGCATCTATTCTTGTTGCCATCTCTTGTTGATCACAGATTCTTCTTGTTTCTTCTTCATCGGTCCAGTCCTGCAGCTGCGATCGATCTCCTCTTTGACCATTAGGGTATTTATGCATTCAACTTCCACACCATTAGAGTATTTATGCATTCCACTGATGGTTTTTGCAAATAAACGCAGATGGCTGCGCAGTATTATCCTTTTGGTGGTTACAAGATTTCTGAGAGCGTAGTGTTCTATACCACTCAGCTTACATTTGCCTTTGTCAACTTTTGTCCTGTTCGTCCGGGTATGGTGTTTCATTTTAGTTTTGATTTTTGGTAACAAGTGTTTAATTTTAGTTTAATTGTTCAAAGACATGTTATCTAAGTCATTTTCCTTTTTATCTTTGATTGATTCAATTGTCTACTTTATTTTTTGATTGAATTTGAGTGAATTAGCTTTTTTTCCTTTTGCAGGTCATATCCTTTCTTTTTATGGGTTGTCATTGATACAAAGCATGGTTGGGATCATTGTTGTTAGTTGGATTTCAAGTTTGTGGCTTTTCTTTTGTTTGCAAATTAGAAACAAGCCAAGCATCGTTATGTTCTTTTGGTGCTTAGTCAGTGTAAACTTTTAACACAGTTTGACTTTGAATTTGGCTGACTTAACATGAATCACATGTGCTTGTGTGCCCAAAGCGTGAAGTGAAGCGAGTTGCTGATCTCACTGCTGATGAAACTTGTGATTTATGGCTCACTGCACAGAAAATTGGCGGGCAGCTGGAAAGCTATAGCAATGCATCATCACTTACATTGAATATCCAAGTAAGTTGAAGTGGAATCTGCTTATGCATCCTTTCGCTTATGCATCCCTTCTTATTTGTTCATTTTGTGCTTGTTTCATTCCTTTCATATGCAGCCCTTTCCCCTTTGATTAGGAAGTTATTGACATTATTTAATCTGTTCTCTGTCCCTCGAGCTCTACTCTCTCCCTGTGGCTCTCATCTATTTTTTTATACTCAATGTAAACATGATAATCTGCATACTTGTTAGCTTTTGCATAACTTGTATGATGTGATGTTTGTGTTCTTCAATTTTGATTCTGTCACATGTGAGTGTTCCCTGATCTTGTTTGTTAAGCTTGAAGTCTTGTTAGGGTCTTCTTGTTTCATTCAAGTTTACCTTCTTTATCTTGGACTTCTATTCTCAAACTTACTTTGTCCGTTTATAGTCTAGTTTTTCCACTACTGTCTAACTGTACTGTCGGGTGGTGTTTGGTGCATGGATATTCCAATTTCTTGAGTAATTAGGAAGTTATATATGAGATATGTCAACATAAGATACATGACAGCTTCAAGATTTACGTAAAGATGATCAAGTGCTTGCAATATAATTCAAACTTACCCAACAACGCCTTACTGTAAACTACCCCTTTAATTTAGTGATACTTTTATGCTCATTTTCTTCTGACACAATGCACTAAGACTTCACCTAGGGGCTTGTGAAATGCTTTTGAAAGAAAAAAGAGATATGGGCTATGTTTGGTACGGAGTATTAAAAATAAGGGATAAGGATTGGGATTGGGGTTGAAAACATATGTCAAAAAGATACTTAGCATGAGTGATTTCTTATCACATGGGATTAGGCAATCCCATATAAATAGGATTGGAGAATACCACCTCCCCTCATGGTATTCCCTAATCCCACATATATGGGTTTGTCTAATCCCAAGTATCATATAATTACTCATACTAAACACCCTTTTAATATAGTTTTATACTTTTAATCCCAATCCCTATTTCTCATTTTTAATGCTTTGTACCAAACGGGACCATAGAGTAAAGAGGGGAGGATTGAAAAGAGTAGAAGTGGGTTCCATGCGCTCCTTTTCTCTTAGTACATGAGAAGGATCAAACTTATAACCCACTAATTTGCTATCTAAATCTCTTGCTCTACCAACCATATAAATTGCCCCCGGTTAGCAGATAGGTAGTCTTATTTGAATATTTTCAAATGAGCAGAATTGATTTTTGGTCTCCTTACAATCATCACGCCACTTGCTTCGTATGGTGCTTACATTACATCTGGGAAAACTTAGTAGATCATCTTTTTGTATCTTAGGATGGGCCCCAGGCAGGACAGACCGTTCCTCATGTTCACATTCATATCATTCCCCGAAGAGCTGGTGATTTTGAGAACAATGACGACATATATGATGAAGTAGAACGAAAGTTTTTGGCTATTTTTCCTTCCCAAAAGTTTGTTTTTAATTCGCATTCTCTTTGTTTTGACTTTTGATATTTGCTGTTTTGTTATTGGTGCAGATTGATTTGAAGGAGAAGCAATTAAAGATGAGGCTTGATAATGGGGAGAGCAAAGTCAGTGGTAGCCTTGAAGGGATGGCTGCAGAGGCAGATGAATACAGAAAACTTTTCTCATGAAAATTTTAACACGTGAAATAGGAGTGGAATCCCCTCATATTCTCTTTGACATCGTTCCAGTTTATTTGGACTATTTCGAGTATGATAATAATCGAATAGCTACAAAATAAGTTATAAAACTTGAGGCTCCTGGCCTTGTGGTTGTGGAGGACCTGATAACATTATATGATTGGATAGTTCATCTTTCCCAGCTGTATTTGGTTTCTCATGACTAATATGGATCTGCTGCATTGCATGTAGTTTGAGAAATAAGTTACAATGGCTTATAAACAAGCTTGTTATAATTTTTATTTTATAATATATAGAAGTGTATCGAAGGTGCTTGCCTTTGCACTCAAGGGACTGTGATGAGAGGCTAAAAACAGGTCCGGTGCCGATCACGTTACCTTTAATTGGTGCTTCACTAAAGGGAGTGCCTTATCTTAAGCACCTTAATCGTATTAAGTAATTGACTTGTAAGTCTAAATTTGAAAGTTATAAAACTGCTTGAATAATGAAGCCCAACCTTCAATGTTTCATTTCATTTTTCAGATTTTATATGTTAAACCAGCACTAACCTCAATCCTCTACTATTTATAGAATAATAAATATTTGAAAATATCAGAAGTCTCTTCCTCTCTCGAGTTTTCTCTCAAGGACGGCGAGTGTTAGCATCTCGTCTTGTGCGAGTGTGAGTGCACGGTGTCTCCCTCTCTGGTCAGATGAGGGGACGTCCATGCTTTGGTTTTCTTTGTTTCATTTTTCTGTTCTGCTTTTGTTCTATTTGGTGTAGCTAATAGAGCTTCATTCTATCGGTGCATTAATAACCAGATTTTTGGGGTGTTTCCACAACAGCTCTTGCTCAATGGTGGTTTTGATAGATATGCTTCTAGCCACTCTGATTTGCGTTTTTGGGGTTGGGATTGTGAAGGCTGTTGGCGATTTTGTTTGGTTTATTTGTAAAATGACTTTAATTGACTCAGTTTGGTGGTGGCGCGTTTGGAGTGATAGAAATAGAAAGCTCTTTGTCCATCTAGTGCTATTGCTTGCTTGGTTGCTGGTCAGTTTTCCTCCTCCTTCTGCTGCGTCTTCTTTGCCATTGGTCATGGATGGTTCTGTAACGATGGGACACCCATGGTTGCTCTTGTACAACCGTTTTGGTTGATTTCTTGCCAGTAAAAAGGTTGGGTCCTTAGGAGTGGTTCTCTGAACCCCAGCCCTTATGGTAGCCTCGTTGCCACTCGCAGCATTTTTCCTCCCATGGGCTCTGGTACAATGGTGTAGCGAGGTGGTAGGCGGCAGTGGCAGCAGCTCTTTTTTTGAGTAGGATGGTATCGCTGTCTCAGGGTATCCCAGCCACAAACGGCCAGGTGCACTCGCAGGTATCGAGCCCATGACATGGTAGGGAAGGCGCCTTGCGTTCCCGTTTGCGACCAGTTAGACTCGACTCTTGCAGGTAGTGGCAGCAGCTCTTTAATCCCCTTGTTCTATTGTTTGGGGCCAGGGTTGAGTTTTTGTGGAAAAAAAGGGTTAAAAATAATTACTTGATGTTTAAAATAATGGTCTTATGTTCTAAAAATTACTCCCTCGTCCTTTTTCATAAATAACAATTATCATTTTTTCTTGTCTTTAAATATAAACAGCATTTACAAGTTGTCTTAAATTTTTATAACATTTTTTTTATTCTCATAAATTACTTATTTTAATATTTAATATATTTATTGTCTTATTTTTTCAAACAACCATTTCTCTCCATCATATATATTCTCTCTTTCATAATTCTTTTTATTATAATATTTTTCTTATTCTTTTTATTATACCCTCTCCTTCTGTAAATAAGGATATTTTGAAGAAAGAACTTCTAATTTTTACTAATTTATTGTTTTTAACTATTTTTTTGATTTAAGTGATGAAGTTCTATGTCATTTATTAAAAAAGACAGGGGGAGTATTTTTTTTTTTTTAAAGCTTCATTTTCTTGTTTTCGGTTTCTCCACTAAAGATTCAGAAAAATGGGATTCACAAGGTGGGTGAGAAAAGAAAGAAAAAGCTTTATTTGTTTTTTTAACTCAACCCCTTAAATTAATTTTTAGTATTAATATGAAATCATTTTTTAAAAATACTACATTTGTTTGATTTCTAATTTTTATATATTTTTCTCCGTTAAATATATTTTCATATTTTTAAATTTTTTAATAATAAATTAATTATTTATTTTGAATAATTTTATTTTTAATATTTCCTTTACAATTGTCACATTATATATTTTAATATTAAATATATATTATTTAATAAAATTTATATTCTTTTTAATCATTTTATATTTAAACTAATTTTTTTATTAATTATATAAACAAGTTCTAGGCTGCCTTTGGATCTCCATTTGCAATGGCAAACATGCCTAGGCAAATGTAAAACGCATGTTGATAGCTTATTTGAAGAAGTCTAGTTGTTTTTTTTTTTTTGACCTGAGAAGAAGTCTCGCTGTTTGGCATAGCCTTTTTGTAAATGGACTCTTTGTTTCATCGTACCTTGCAAATGAAGCCACCTTTTGCTGTGTCAGAACTCAGAAGTAAAAGTCCATTGCCAACGCGGAAAGAGAAGGACAATAGTGAAGAGACAAAAGGCTATCTTGTATTGTTGGGGAGAAAGATAAAATCACTATAAAAAAAACCCAATAACTTAATTATTTACAATAGTATCCTAAGAAAAAAATAATTAATGAACTTTATTCATATGTATTACTAATTTTAAATTTTTAATTAAGCTCTAAAAATCTGCAAAAAAAAATAAAATATTATTCAATAGCTATATGTACAAAAATTATGTTAAATATATCTAATTAAGTTTTTTTTACTATTTGTTTTTCTTATAATACCTTAACTCTTTATTTTTATGCCTTTAATTTTAATATTTTTCTTAAATTTATTAGATTATATACATTATACATATATAAAATAAGACTCATACTTTTTTTAGTCAAATTACATCTAAATTTACTTTTCAATTACTCATCCAAATAAGTTTCGATTTATCAAATTAACCTTTTATAAATAGCAATCCAAATATAAATCACATTATACTAACTGATTTTTACTCCAACTCATGTTTGTAAAAATCAGATGGAATAAAAGTCAGTTTGTCACCACTAATCCAAACACAGTCTTAGTTTCTCAAACTGACTTTTTTTTTACACAAAAATCAATACAAACATAAGTTATATTATACTATCTTCCTTTTACCCAAAAAAAATTGCTTCTACCACTACTAATCCAACCACACTTAGTTATTTCGGTCTGTGCCTATTTTTTTTTCGTTTTTTTTTTTGTGTGGTTGCTGTTTACTTTTCCTTGTAAGCTTTTTAACTCTAATGGAATACTTTTCCCCGGTTAAAAAAAAAAAAAAAAGCGTTAACCTTATACCATTGCATGGGGTGCGCCAATGCTTTAAAGATGCACCAACCTAAAAATCAATAGGAAGTGCATGGCAGTGGCTTCTTTTAGTTTTACATATACAAAATGATATTATTTCAAGTTACATTCATCTCTGTTTTTATATAACATATATTTCTTTTTATTTTAGTGCCTTGTCCTATTTGGGCGTGTTCTTTTCAAGTTCATTTTGTTGACAAACTCTCAACCACTTGGGAAAAAAAAATAATTTAAACATCCTAAGGCGTTTTAGAGGTCTAGTAGACTAGCACCTTAAAGGCATCTCCTCCCTTTGGTAATATTGCATGCTACCTCATATTCTTAAGCTAAAGGGTTAGATTTAATTTTAACTATAACATATTAATTCACTTTATCTTTTATATTTATATTTTTTTTCAAGTTATTCTTATTAATGATACATATTAAGAAGTTTCTACTAAAAAGTAATTCTAATAGATATAATTAAAAAGAGTATATTAGAGAAATTAATATATATTTATTATAAATAACTAATTTAACTAATAATTACGCTTCATATAAACTTTATGTTTGTAATAAAATAAGAAAAAAATGACAAATAAAGATGTGAAAATTGCAAAATCCTAAATCAGGATTCATTAGAATACTACACTTTAAGAGGTTTTGACAATATACTTACAAGTAAAAACATATTTTTGTAAAAAAATACTTGATTTTGAAAATTTGCAATTCTTACAATCTCTTTTTATCATTTTTCCTAAAAATAAAAGTTTGTAGTTTTTTCTTTTAATATTTTATAAGAAACCAACCTCTTCCGCTGCATCTAATCTGCGTTGGTTTTTGCTGGTGTTGTAGAAATTTTTATTAAAAAAAAAAAAAAAGCACCGTTCACCTTAATTTTTTTTTAATTATAAAAAGAAATAAACTATCGTTGGGTAGTTTACTAGTTTTCGAAGGACTTGGTGGCGCTTCCTTGAATTTTCCACTACTTAAACAATCATTGCGTTTCCTCGATCCTTGTCACTTACTAGTACTTTGTTCGTTTCTTTGATTATCAAAATCGATGCAGACAATAGTAAAAGAAGACTTGAAGTTGTCCGTTTTCTCCGAGTCGCCTTAAAAAATTGTAAAATTCGGCAATAAAGTTTCAAGGAATCATCTTTTCTTGTTGCTATCTCTTGTTGAACTGCTTGCTTCTTCTTCGTCCGCCCCGTCCTGCAAGTGCGATCGGTCTCCTCTTCGACCATTACGGTATTTATGCATTCAACCTCTCCTTTCACTTTTGTCCTGGTTTGAGTTTCCCCACCCCGTCTTCTTTTTCTTCTTCTTCTCTCTTTGCACGCACACAAATTTTTAAATGGGTTTTGCAAATAAATTCAGATGGCTGCGCAATATTATCATTTTGGACGTCACCAGATTTCCGAGAGTGAAGTGTTCTACACCACCCAGCTTTCATTTGCCCTTGTCAACAATCGTCCTGTTCGTCCGGGTATGGTGTTGGCTCGATCATCAGTTCTCTCGTCTCTGCTGATTGTGTTTAATTTTAGTTTGATTATTCAAAGACGCGTGATCTAGATCATCTTACTTCTTATCTAATCAGTTTTCAACTAAATAGCTTGTTTTACTGTTTTTTATTGTATTTCCTCTTCCTTTTGCAGGTCATATCCTTTCTTTTTTATGGGTTGTCGTTGATACAAAGCATGTCGCGATCATTATTGCAGTTTTTTAGTTGGGTGGATTTCAATTATGGCTTTGTTTCGTTTGCAAATTAGAAACGAATTTAACAACTCTGATTCTAGCACAATCGTTTCTGAGTTTCACTGGTCCCTGATTGTTAGGAAGTCGGAACATATGGCGGCTTCTGTACAATTAGAGTGCCTAATTTGAGATATATGATTTTATCAGGGAAATGTGAATAATTTCACTAGAATGTTTGTTCCTAGGCGTTGATATTTCAAATCTCAAACAACCTGGGTAATCATGTATATAGGTTGTTGTAAAATAGTCTTGTTTCGATAAACAAGCGATATACCATGGCCTGTTTACGCCCACTAGCATCCGTATGAAGATGTTGGAAGAACAAAACCTCCTCTTCATATAATTGGCTGTACATTGCTCCTGGTACTTAGTGTGAAACTTTAATAAAGTTGGATGTTTAATTTGGTTGACTTAACAAAAATACATGTGCTTGTGTGCCCAAAGCGTGAAGTGAAGCGTGTTGCTGATCTAACTGCTGATGAGACTTGTGATTTGTGGATCACAGCACAGAAAATTGGTAGGCAGCTTGAAAGCTACCATAATGCATCATCGCTTACATTTGGTATCCAAGTAAGTTGAAGCAGAATACGCTAAGTAACCATTTATTCTTGTATTACTTCTTATTACTTTGTGTTAGTTTCATTCCTTTGACAGACACGATTAGAAAGTTGCTAGCATATTTTAATCTGTTATCTTGGACTGCTATTCTCAAACTCACTTTATCCATCTACTTTCTAGTCTAGATTTTTCACTATTGTCTAACTGTAATCTTAGGTGGGGTTTGGTGCATGGACATCACAATTTCTTGAGTACTTCGAAACTTATATACAAGAATTATCAAGTGCTTGTGTATTCACAATGTCACATTTGCCAAACAATAGTTGATCATAAACTCTGAAAGTAACCACTTTAATTAAGTGATGCTATGGTTATTCTCTTCTGATATAATGCACTAAGACTTTGCTCAGGGGATTTGAATTCTGTTAAATTAGACACCTGTGAAATGCTTTTGAAGTAAGAGAGAAATAGAGAGGAGAGAGTGAGTGATCGGAAAGAGAAGTGGGTTCCACACACACTCTTATTCTCTATGTCACCTCCTCTAATTCAGAAACCTTCTAATTTCATGATCCAAATATACTGTTTTTTGCTTTCCTTTTCTCTTAGTACATGAGAAGGATCAAACTTGTAACCTGTTATCCAAATCTCCAACCCTATCAACTTTGTAAGCTGCCCCCGCTATGCAATTCGGGAGAATTATTTGAATTTGAATGCTGCCAAATGAGCAGAATTCAGCATTGTGATATGTGATTTTTGTTTTCCTTACAAGCATTACGCTATCAGCATGGTATGCTGCTTACATTACATCTGGGGAAACATACTAAATCATCTTTTTGTACCTTAGGATGGGCCCGAGGCAGGTCAGACGGTTCCTCATGTTCACATTCATATTATTCCCCGAACAGCTGGTGATTTTGAGAACAATGATGATGACATAAATGATGAAGTAGGATGAAAGCTTTTCTCTCCTTTTCCTTCCTGAAAGTTTGTGTTACATTCTAACTCTCTAACTTTGTTTTGATATTTACTGTTTGACTGTTTGGTTATTGGTGCAGATTGATTTGAAAGAGAAGCAGTTAAAGAGGAGGCTTGATGAGGAGGAGAGGCAAATAAGGAGCCTTGGAGAGATGGCTGCAGAGGCAGATGAGTACAGAAAACTTTTCCAATGAAAATTTTAACGTGTGAAATAGAGGTTAAATCCTTTAAATATTCCGCTTGACATGGTTCCAGTCTATTGGGACTATATGAACTATAGTAATCAAATTTGTAGCTAAAGTATAAGTTATAAAACTTGATGCTTGTGGCCTTATGGTTGTGGAGGACATCATAATATTAAATGATTTGATAGTTCAGTCTTTTCTGCTGCATTTGTTGTTATCATTGATATCTTGTGCATTTTCTAAAATTTGATAAATAAGTGATAATAAATCATAATGTACGTATTATTAGAGTTTTTATATTATAGTCTTTGTTTTGCCTACAAGCAACACACTATGAGAAATGGTAACCTTTTAATAATTGAGCAACTAAGGAAAGTTTAACAAAGTTTAGTTTCTTAAAGTTCAGAAGAAATATTCCAGATTTTATAATTTTAACGAACTTCTGACCTATAATTAAAAGATTGATAAACCAAATTAGCGTTAAATTGATTAATGAAATTAACAGTAAATTGATAATATTTTCATTCATAACACATCAAATTGAAAAATTTCCGTGAGACGCCAAGTTGAGAAAAGTCTGCAAGAGACCAAATGAAACACTTCCAAATATGTTAAGAACCAAAATAAAAACTTCACTTAAAAATATGTAAGTGTGTCTTCTGAAATATTGTTACCCCAGAGTAAACTTCTGCATGCCCTTGTATTTAAACGAGTGACAAAGCTAATGATACTTCGTGGCAAAAGCAGATAGGCCAAAATATATAGCCATCGAATAAAGAACCTTGACAGTACATGCAGATCAATCTAATTATGTTAAACAAATGGAAGCAGAAGATACGATGCTCTTTGATGGTTTCTCAAGAGAAGGAAGAGAAATTATACATATATGCAGAATAATTAGGAGAAGCATGCTGGCACTGAAGCCATCGACTTAAAACTTATTCCCGCCAACATCAAAATTGGGGAACAAGGCTATGTAAGAGAGAACAGAAAGGCTATGTTATAAAGAACAAAAAACTAGTGAAAACGCGCACAAGTGCAGTTCTTTGGTGTTTGCTATCAAAATCCTTCAACAGAGGCATTACATGTGGAAACTTGTTTAAAACAGTCAAAAGTAGGATGCTTAATGTTAACAAAAGTCCACATGTTATACCTCTACTGAGAAACCTATGTAAGATGTATTCAAGGTAAGGATGTATAACTAAAAACCCATCTGATAAAGAAAAAGAATGTTTAGTTGTTAACCTTTTTGTTAAGAGTCATCCAGATCCAGTTCCATCCCCAAGCGTTTCTTCAAAATTGTATTGGCATCTAAAGATTGGATGCTTCTTCTCTGTAACTCCTTGAATCTCTCAACATCAAAATTATACCTCTTGATAAGCTTCTTCCGCCGAGAAATGAAGAGCCTCTTCATGAAGTCCTGATATGTGGGGTCCCTTGAAGTGAACAGAAAGTAGGCATAACCTATTACTAAGCCAGTGGACGTGACAAAAAATGCAATGGGCTCCATCACATCCCATGAGAATTCCCAGAATGTTAGCCTGAAGAAGAGGCCAACCTGAAGCAAACTGGCTCCTAGTCCGCACCAGAGAATTCTCCGGACCTGTTTATGTGCTAACATATCAATTTCTAGTTTCTTCTCCTGCAGCCTCCTCAACTCCTCACTTGTAGAATCCTCACAAGTCAGTACCAATGGAACAGCTCTTCGAACAAGATCAGCCACCTAAACATGTAGAGAATTGGCCCAGCGACAGAAAATAAAGAGGAATCAGCAAACAAGATGCTAAAAAGCAGAGCAACCGCCCGAACAATCAAATTGCATAATAGTCACCCAGTTTTATGAACAATCATGTACTAAAAAGTAAAAACCATTTCCTTAATGGATTTGTATTACCTCAGCCAAAAAAAAAAAAAAAAAAAAGAAGCTACAACGCATAGTTATAAGAAAATTATTTATTGCTGCTGTCTCATTTAGTTCTTCTGTGGCTTACTGTAAACCAGCCAGCCAGCGCGCCAGCGCCCAGCAGCCCCAATGTCGGCACTTCAAGAATGCCCATATTTCAAGTTGCAGCATTGAGAGTAAGCACGAATGCTACTTATAATTATGTCACATCAGAAGGAGTCAATCAGATTTTGAGATAGTCAAATGCTTGATTCCAATACTTCATACAAAAGGACCTAAGATCTTCGCTTCGGATAGCTTGCCAGCAAATCTTACCCACCAATGCTAAAGCAAGCTTGAGTGATTAGTCAGGGTGAAATCTCATCAATTATGAAATAAAATATTAGAAAGGTCAACGTCACTATAGTTCCAAATAGTTGATAGAATTTCCCTATTTGCCAAATATGAACAACGTTGAGCTAAGTCATCAATACCTTATAAATTAAAACCAAGATTTAAAACTAAAGAATTAGTTTAACAATATAATCATTGTTAAGGAAAGAATATATTGAGGGAACAAGAGGGCCAGAGTCCACTCTTACCAAAAAGCAGGAAATGAAGGGCTAATGGCATCTTGTGAGAAGTGATGCCAACTACACATCACTTTTAGTAACATATTTCCATCTGGAAATGCTTTATTGTATGCTCCACAGGCAGAAGCAAAGTATACAATATACAAAATAAAGATCCAATTCAAATCTGATATAAAAGGTGAGCAAAAAAAAACATGAAAAGGTAAGGGCACCGAATAGTACAAGTTAAAAACTCACCTTTTGAGGATGAAGATAGACCTTATCCCTGAAAAGAAGAATGACTCCAGCTTCGTCAAGAACGCGAGCATAAGCTGAAGCCTCTTCAGGAGACCTAGCAACACCTGTATTCTCACATGCTTGAAGAAGCTCAGAGAATGGAATAACTTCCTTTCCTTCCCCTTCCAGCTTAGACTTGAGCGATTCCACATTCACCAATCTCATGAGCTTTTTAGCTTCTGAGAAGGACATGGTATCGCTTTTTCCACTATCTTTTTCTGTATTACCGCCATTATCAGATGATTTCGAATTATTGGAGTCTTCAGGCGATGAAGATATCCCTCTCTTAATCTCACTGAACACAAATGATAAAGGAATTATTCCTCCTCCTCCTCCTCCTCGACATTCTGTTGCAATATCCCTCGAACCCAATAACGGAGGATTACCAGGACGAAGCTTCCTTCCACAACCATGGCCGATGTTAACAACCGCAGATAAGCTTTGCTTCAATAAACCGACTCCACCGCCGGCACGCCACCACCTACTCCACATTTTGAAAACTCAGAGGAAGAAAGGGATTTTCGAAGAGAAAATTTTGAACTCTATATAAACAAAAATCAACACAACCGACAATTGTCATTCCATTTGGATGCCTCAAAATCCTACACAACTACCACCCACAATCTTCTGACATATTTCGAAACCACAGTCTCATAAATGAATGCTAATAGCTACCACATTTCGAGAAGGGAAGCAAGTAAGACGAATTCAAGAACATTTGTCGGAAAATTAATTTATGAAAGAGAAAGTGACGTGCTTTCGATTATATATATGGACCATGGAGCTTCATTTTGCGAACTGCAGTGTTTCTAAATATGTAGAAAATAAAAAGAGAAAGCGAGGAAAGCAAGGCAGGCGCCGCGGAGAAGGGAAGGACGAAGCTGAACGAGGAAATGAAGTGATCCATTACTTTCTCAAACACACAAACACTCACATTAACATTGGTTTAACGACTATTAACAAGGACTTTTAAGGACCCACGTCCACGAAATAGTCCGTTCTTGACCTTGTTTATATAAATACGGAACAAACGTCTGTTCTCATCTCCCTCACGCCCATTTTTTCAGACTGAAGAACGTGTGGTAGGAAATGGTCAATTTTGGACAAATATACAAGGACGTCTTTTCTACGGGTTCATGAAACTTTTAATCCCAAAATCTTCTTCAAATTATTAATTTGATTCATAAAGTTTAATTTTGAAAAAATTCACATAAAAAAGCTTAAAATTATTATATCCTAAATTAGGTTTGTTAACTATATTTTAATAGCTTTTTATAACTACGCTTTAATTAGTTTTTACAGGAATTCCTTCAAGCTTCTTTTTGTGTCTCTTTAATTTTCATAAATTAAATATTTAAAATTTCATAATTATATACAATTAGTCTTTTTGAGCCCCAAGTTCAATTAGGCCTCAAAAAATTTATATAATACTACTTCCAATCCTAATTATAAGATTTCGCTTGTAAACTATAAACACAAACGAAATCTTATAATTAAGACCGGAGATAGTATTTGTTATGTACTACTAATCTAGGTTGGATTTAGTGGAAATGGTCAGTCTCTCACAACATGGTGAAACAAGATTTGAATGCTCGCTGAGAGATATGCTAATATTTATTGCCAAACGGTATTTGTTTTTAAATTTATAATTTTTTTTCCTCTGGATATCCCCATTATCACTCATTTGTTATCAAGAAAGAAGAAAGAAACAGAAAGAGGGACCACCAACAAGCACAAATAGATCCTTCCTTGTTAGTCCAAAGATCCTCCCCAAGGGCCTCGTTTATTTTCTCAACGTCAATGCAGATTCACATGCATCGGAGATAGATCAGCAGAATGCAACACCTAGCGACTTTGCAACATTCACTTTATCTTTTATATTTATCTATTTTAATCCCAGGATTTCTTTATAGTGTTTACAAGAATTGTTTCAATATATATAATTAATAAATATATTTCAGAATAATTATCTAACTCTTATATTAAAGTCTAGAGATAGTAGTGTTGTTCCATTTTTCATCCAAGTTCCTTTATGATATTAACACCATATTTATTCTCAATGCGCTGATCTTCAGTTTATCATCATCTCTTTTTCTTCATATCTCTCACTTTCATTTATAATATATAGATGCCAGTTTAAGTTTAATGAAGTTTAGCTATTCGAGGAAATACAATTATGCAAAAGCTTTGTTCAATTGGAGATGCGGTTCCACCGCGCCTTTTTTAACCCCCCATTTTACTGTCCGTCTTCCTCCTCCTTTTTCTTGTGTCAACAAATTGTCAATGGTTCACAAAAGATGAAAACCCAGGTCAGGAAAGAGAATGATTCCGCTTTTTGATTTCAAAGGTAGATGCCGTATTTGTTAGCATCTGTCACAAAGTGAAAGTCGCTCTTGGGTTAAACAATTTGTGTACAGATTTTAACTCTTTCCAACTGTAAATAATCTTATGTATGGCATTTTGATAACTATATTTTGCTTCCAAAGAATATCAATCAAAAAGCCAATATGTGACCCATTGTCAATTACGTACCTTTCCAGTATTTTGAACATTTTATGCTTAGGATTTGCGATGCTATTTAATAATATACTATGGTATCAAAAGGACATATAGAGAATGATATATAAAATTCAAATGGATCTAGGAGTCATCTTATTTTCGTGCTTACTTTTCATTCATTTTTTTGGAAAGAAGAAAAAAGAAAAAGAAAAATAACCCCCCCCAACACCCCAAAGGAGAAAGAAAGAGAAAGCCTCCTGAATTATTTCCTTCATGTGTATTGCAATCTGCACAATTTACAAAATATGGATAGCAAGTGGAAGCAAAGGCAATTAATCTCAGCCATATATAGCAATAGAATATAAGAGGAGGTTCTTGAAGGGCTCAATTGCCGTGGTTTGCCTTTGAAATAGCTCTGAACAGACCCTTTGCAATCCTCCAGAACCACACTACGTTCATCATTGCCAACACAGGAGGCACTCCAATCAAGCTGTAAAATCCCAAAGCATATATTCCTCTTATCTGAAACAGTGTCAACACACTTTTAGTTAACTCAGATTCTACATGAAAATTCTCAGGAAGAATCAACTCAAATATCCTGTTGAGCAGGGTCATTTTCGTCAAACCACTAGATACAGAGATTACCAACCCCCACAAAACCAGTGTAGAGATTTGTGGCAATAACATTCCACAATACATATTTGCTTTTGTGCTTATGTGTATTGGTCTTAAAACTAACGGTCAAAACCGCCTACCCAACACCCATTCATAAAGATGGGAGGAACTTTTCTTTAGAGCCATTAGTGTGATGTTGAATTATAGGTGAAGTCCACATTTTTATGCTTTTATTGGACAGCCACATAATAACCACCCAGAAAAACTCTACTTTTTAGGTCTCGTCTTCATTATCAGTTACGAGAGGAATCACTAACCACTCGGGCAGAAAACCATTGATGGGAAAACTACCACAAGCTGTAGTTTCCACCGTGGGTAAACTATTCTGTGTGTGAAATTAAGGAAGACATTTCAGGAAATTAGAGAGCAAGTGCTAACCTCGTCAAAGTGGATCCACATGTGGGCGAAAATGAAGATGAACAGAAAAATCCTTGCAATCTACAGCACAATAGATCCAATAAATGATAAATTAGGCGTACAAAATGTAAAATTCTTTTTTTTTTTTTGGGGGGGGGGTTGGTTGGGAAGACAGAGGGCCACATCAAAACTACTCAAGGGGTTAAAAAAAAAAAAGTGTGAAGTCCTTGCTTGCGTGATTTAAATCTGTTGTAAATTTAAAGATGACGTTTTCTTCCCTATTTACAGTTAAAAAAAGCACACAGGCTTCAGCAATCAAAGCATTTCATGTTTTTTGATTAAATGACAGAAACTTGCTCATATAATATCATTCTTCACTGTATGATCAACCTTAGTTAATCATATAATATCATTCTTCTCTGTATGATCAACCTTAGTTTGTTTGATGTTGTTTGCTCTTGTAAAAGCCTTTTTAAGTTCAACTGATTACTATGCTAGAAAAGGCAAGGTTTTGAAGGCATATACATATAATGTCTTCCCATGAGAGAATTATTCAGGTAAATAGCTCAACCAAAATGAAGATCAGAAGGATATCAGACATTACCAACCAACTCAAGAATAATGCAACGCCATTCCCAATGTAAAGTTTGGAGTTCTTAAGGCCAGCAACATCCAAGTACCTATTCATACAAGATAAAGTCGATCACAAGTCAGTGTTAACAGAAGCACATGATTGTAATCGAATTTCTGGAACATCATACTTACCATCTTAGATTTACAAAAGCCTTTTTAAGTTCAACTGATTACTATGCTAGAAAAGGCAAGGTTTTGAAGGCATATACATATAATGTCTTCCCATGAGAGAATTATTCAGGTAAATAGCTCAACCAAAATGAAGATCAGAAGGATATCAGACATTACCAACCAACTCAAGAATAATGCAACGCCATTCCCAATGTAAAGTTTGGAGTTCTTAAGGCCAGCAACATCCAAGTACCTATTCATACAAGATAAAGTCGATCACAAGTCAGTGTTAACAGAAGCACATGATTGTAATCGAATTTCTGGAACATCATACTTACCATCTTAGATTTACAAAAGGAGTTGTGCTTTCAGATAATAGAACCATTAGCACGTAGATCTGTCCTCGACCACTTAGCAGAGATAATATAATTGAAAATAAGGACAGGCCATGGTGCAGTACCTGAATGCAATAAAAAACTTGAGTTGCTTTACCCATTCTAGATTGTCTGGCCATAATATAGTTAACATATTCCAAAAGAAAACCATGATATTGTACTAATTAAAATTAAAACTAGTACGAAAGGTATTGATCTTCTTATACTCACATACTCCAGGCCCCCCAAAACTGGAAATTCCCACAGGATCATTGCCAGATCTGTAAGAAAATAGCCTACAGAAATCTGTATATTGGGAAAAAGATAGGAAAATAAAGAAAATAAATAAGCTATTCACCAAAAAGAAAAAAGAAAATAAATAAGCTAATCGTCCCAAAGTAATGATCAAGAGAGGCGGATGAATGTCAGATTAATATTCAATGACTCTAAAAGAGGCGTCAAGACGGAACGGCAGTAAAACAAAACGAAGCAGAAAATGAAGAATTATAGTCACAGATGCCTACCAAAAACTCTTAGCAATTGAATAGTTTAAAGAAAAACGAAAAAGTGAAGACATCGTCAATGTTTTAGCAAATTATTATTCCTAACTCTAGCTATTTAAAACCCCCATCAATGTATGTGTTTAATTGAAAATACAAAACAAAGATTTTCAACTGTTTAAACCTGATTTGATCATTTTCTCTCAATCAAAGCTTCATTGTCATCTCAAGACTGGTTGATTCACCTCCCTGCTCAACTTTCTCAACTTTATTTTGTATTTCTTATGAGTAAGCTTGAACTTGAGACTGGATGATCACGGCAGACGCTAAGAGATTAAGTGTCCCCCTTTTTTGCCCGTTTTTAATTCATATTAAAACTAAGAAGGGAAACCTTCAGGAGAGACTCTAAGCCAAATCATATGAACGAGCTATCTGTTAACCTTCGTGCGAGGCTCTGAGTGAAATCAAAAGAATGAATTTTCTCTTAAACTTCACAAGAACTATCAACTTAAATTCTATGAAGCATGAACAATCCATTATTCATTCTCTATTTGTATGCTCAAACTCTTCTGCATAGAGTAGTCTAAAATTCTTATAACCCTTCCCATAATTTAACAAAAAATATTTATCATCCATTCATCGATTTTGAATATAAAGTACTTGTGACATGCTCTGGTAGGCAGAATTGTGAATAATTAAAGCATAATAAAATTGACATTTTGGGGGAAAATATCAAGGAATGCCAAATCGAATGGATCAAATTGAGATAATAAGAGGGGCAACTAAATGACCATCAGGTGTCGGTTAAATATTTGTCAACTTACCCCAAGTACTGTATCAGACAAATCAGATGATCTATTAACAATTAGCTCATCATAAGAATCTTCATGAAACACATCTAACATGATCAGAAGGTAGAAGGATGAAAATGCTACAAAAAGAGCATGGACCGTTGAGATACCCCTGCATTGCATCAGTAAATAATATTTCTGTGAAAAATTGATAATGAATAAAATTAATTCAAGCGGGATTCATTATGAAAAGGCTAGCCACCCACCTGTTATTCCATTCCATTCTCTTTGCACTGCTTAATTTTCCATATCCCTTGAACAAAAGAGAGCTTGCACAAGCAGTCAATCTATAAACCTTGAAGAATGGGAAACGATCAAGTTACGGAGATGTCGGTAGGCTCTTGATATGACTAGACTATTTCAATATTACCTTCTCTTTTAAACAAATTTGGACAAGCATCTAAAAAGAAAAAGAACAAACCGACCAAGGAACAAAAGCAGACTTGTGCATCAATATAAACAAAATGTTCAAACTGTGACTTCGTGCCTGAATGACCATTCCAAATAACGAAAAGATTTAAGGTTTTTTTATTTTTTTAAAAAATTAGGGTTCTAAGCTTTTGGGAAAAGTTGATTTGCTAAACGAGAAGATACTCTGTCCACTCGATATGTAATAATGAGAAAGCTTTATCCCACTAGGTGGGGTCGGTTACATGAATCAATGTCATTGAGCTCTATTAAAGACTAAATCTTTGGATAGATTATTAATCAAAACATCCTGCTCAATAACTTCACTAAGTGTTCTTTTTTGCCTTTTTCTATTTCTTTTTAAAAGACTTTATACTGTTTGACCCTTCTCACTGGCGCAAAGGCCTTCTTTAAACATAACCAAACCTTCTCAAATGATTTTTTTATCATTTTCTCTTCAATAAAAGCTACTCTGACTTTATATACTCATTATCAATCTTATCCGAATCCCAGTAGATATACAAAGACATAAAATTTGAATTCAGTGGATATATGGATTTTATATTCCATGATTGATCTGCATCGCGGATTCCAATATCTAAGACTCATAAACCGTCCATTCTCTCAAATGTATGGTGTTGAATCCCTCATCTAAGCGATCACTTATCGCAGTTACTTCATTTATGCTTTCTTAATACATATGTACCCATGTGCAGAAGTTCATCCTAGTAATGCCCTAAAACAAAAGAAGTTTTTTTTGTTTTGCCAACAAAAAAAAAGAGGAAGAAGTTGGTGAATTGGGTAGGAAGGGATATTAATTTTGACACCCTGACCTTTCTGCATTTGATGCTATATGGTGGCCAAGGTTGAGTAATGACCCAAAAAGATAATAAAAAATGAAAAACCTGACGAAAGAAAAAACATTCAACAAAATTTCATAGCCAAAAGGAATCACTTTAATAACATTCATGCAGGCAGGAAAACCCGATTGTCTCCCGGGGGGGGGTCCCAAAGCCATTCCTTTTATGTTTGGAGAGTATCATGGCATTCCGTTCTACCAATCACCACGAATAGGGTTTTTCTAATCCCCTGAAGCGACAAAATACTTCACACACACAGATGACAAAAAAATCATTCAATTTCACTTACAAGAATGCACAAGAGAATGCCGGCGACGACAGCAGGGCAATGGCTATAGATGACCCAAAAAGCATATTCACGAGAGGATATCGAACCAATCGGTAATGGAAAAGGAAACATAAACTCCATGATGATATTCAATCAAACTGCCGGTTTTGAAATTTGGAATCGCTGTATCAGACAAAATCACCGTCTTCGTCTTCGTCGTCGTCATGACGTATTCATAGCTTGGGTCGAGGTCCGTCCAACTCCAAAGAAACGTAACAGTAATATGAGAATCTTCTGATCGTGACCGCGAATCCATTCCAAGCGTCGTTCCGAAGTTGTTTTTTCCGCTTACGACAGTTAATTGCTTCCTCAACCTTTCCTTTATTCCACAGTCGTTACTTAGGGCGGACGCAACGGCAATTGTTAAAGCCTGCTAACTTCCATCACGTCACGTCATCAATGTTTATAGAAACAAGCGTACTATAATAACATGGCAGTTGAAATTAAAAAAAAATATACTCCTCCGGTCCTTAATATAAGACCCATTTAACTATTTTGATTAGATTAAGAAAGTTAGGTAAATTAGTTAGTTATAAGAAATGTAACACATTTTTCCTAAAATACCATAATCATCTTTCTTAATACATTCTCTCCCTCTTTTACTTGATTATGGTTGAAGGAGTATTTATAGGGGTAATGTAGAGAAAATTGATAAATATGATAAATGGGTCTTATATTTAGGACCAAAACCAACTTAATAATTGGGTCCTATATTAAGGACCGGAGGAGTATATTTCTAACTTATTTACATTTATGTATTAATAAAAATAATTAGATTATCAAAATAACTGTTGATTGAGATGGAAAGTTGTCTCATTTTCTGTTGAATTATACCTAAAAAAAAACTAAGAAAAATTAGTCCCTGAACTTTTGATTCATATATGATTTAGTCCCTCATTTTTTTTAAAAATTTTTTAATTATTATCCTTATTATTTATAACACTCATCTGACGTGGCACAGTTTTGTTTCCTAAAAACTCCATGCCACCTCGCCACTTATTCCGATGCTCCCCAACTCGGCGTCATTCCTTTTGGGTTTCCCTCCAACTCCGGCGTCATTCCGTTCAGCTTTGCCTTCAACTTCGCAGCACGTACGATGACACCGTGTCCTATGCTTATCAGCAAGAGTCATTCACTCTGCATCCTAAATCATATGTTTCCCCCCTCATCAAGTTTTACTCGGGTGTTTGTACTATTATAACCATCTCTTCGCCATTCAAAAATAAAAGTAATTGCGTTTTCTTTTAGCATTTTCCGATGGTCTTTAGTTTCCTGTTTTATAAAGCAAGGGGGGACTATTGCTGACAAGAATGGAAGACGGTGTCATCGCGCTGCAAAGTTGAAGGGGTGGCTGAACGGAATGACGCCGAGTTGGGGAGCATCAGCAAAGGTGGTGAATCACTGACGTGGCATGGAGTTTTCTGGAAAGAGGAGCCACGTAGAGCTGAGTTGGAAAATGGAAACAAAACGAGTTATAAATAATAAGGATAATAACATTAAAAAAAAAATTAAAAGATGAGAGACTTACTCACAAACGAGTCAAAAGTTCAGGAATTGAATCACACTAAGTTATAGTTAAGAGGCTGTGTTATAAGTGGATTTAAAATTGAATGATTAAAAAATTAATTTTTTTAAATAATTAAAAACACTGTATTTTTTAATTATTTCTAACTAATTTACATCTATTTGATCTTTTTTTCTTCCTGCTCTTTTTCATGTTATCGCTTTCAGTGTTTATTGTTTCAGTGTGTTTTTTTTTTCTTTCTGTTCATATGAGCTTGTTTTGTGTTTTCCATTTTGGTTTTGTCCGCTCTAGTTCTTTTTTTTTTTTTTGCCCTTTTTTGGTGTTTGTATTATCTACGGTCAACTTTCCTCTCCCAACTTCATCATGTTTACGGACCCTTTGTAGACGTGGCTTGTAAGGCCACCTCATGTTTTCAGCAGGGCCATGTAGAAACCCCGTTCAATAGCTTAAATGCTATCAACGTCGTCGGTTATCGATATGAGTTGGTGGCTCATGGTGACGTCCTCCCATGTCCCTGATTCAATCGATGTTGTCAAGTGCTATCTACTCCTGCATTTTGGGACTTTAAGCGGTGTCTGTTTTGGTGGTATTGTAACTGATTTGAGATAGGACTAAAGCTTTGTCAAGTTTTTGACATGTTGACCATCTTTTGCGTTTATTGGTTTATTTTTCATTTTCTAGTTGTATCAAATGTTGTTGTTTTGGTATTAGAGTTGGGTCGGCCTTTTCTATTGGTTTTTTTAGACTTTGTTTAAATTAATAATATGTGATTGGTCAGCTTTTTCTTTGTAATCTTTGTATCTTATTTGACTAAAATTGTCTTTTAGTAAAAAAATAATTAAAAACACTAAAAAAAATTTTTTGGACGGAAGTAGTTATGATCTAGTAGGGAAATATTAGAGAAAAGACAATATTGAAAATTTTATTGGGAAGAAGCTAATCAATGTACCCATATTTTCTGTGTTTAAAAATTTAGGGTTAATATCATCTTTATTTGATCCATAAAATTTAATTTCATTTTTCTCCGCCTAAAGATTTTTGGTCCATGAAATAAGGTTATTAGGGCCAAAATCAAAATGAAATCAAATTTTAAGAATTAAAGATTTGTATTGACCCAAAAATTTATCAAGTCTTTTTCATAAATAAAATATTCAATAGGATATTTTCTATAACTTACCCAATTTATTATAAAATTTAAGTGATTTCTAATATTATCAAGAACTAAAAATGAAAGTAGGCAAGCCCTTATGAAAATAGACATGATCTATTTGCTTAAATAAGCTTTAAAATATACTTGAATATAAGACTAACCTATTTACTAAATAAGTTAGACTAGGCTTTAAAGTAAGTTAGACTATAGGTTTTTAATAACGACCTAGCCTACTTTCGCTCTTAACATGAGATACTGTATATAGCATAGATGAAGTTGGCCAATTCTTATTCATGTAAGTAATTGACTAATTTTGATGTGGCACCGTTGTCGTTTTTGTTATAGGTGCGTAATGATTTATGCTAATTGTTTACCTCTACATTTCGCAACTGTATAGAACTAAATGAGCATAACAGTAACATGGTTTTTTTTTTTTTTTGCTAAAGCATATGTATCTTCCTATTGGAGGCAATTATATTCGATGCACTATCGGACATTAAATGTAGACACATTTTCCAGCAAGAATTCGAACCTTAGTTCGTCACATTGTGGTCCCTTCTGCTAGACCTAATTTCTATTGGTAACATGGTTTTTTTTTCGGCTTAAAAAGAAAAAAGGCCAGAGCCCACATAAGAAAAGACTAAGCCATGGGGAATCGGATCTCAAAAGCTCTTTGGAAACCAACGTTCTCAACTGTGCGGTACAAGCGTCCAATAAAAAAGTTCTACATAATCTCTTCCTGGCTAAAGCATTAGCAAGATGGTTTTGTTTTCTCGAAATAGCTTGGATTTTCAAGTCTTGTAAATAATTTATTAATCTTTGAATTTGGATAGAGACCAAACTTGCATCCCATGTAGCTGGTTATGTTCTCTTTGTATTTCTTGTTTGCATCCTCGTCTGTTACCTCATTTCTAAGTATACATTTGACCTTATTGTTCCTATAGATTAACATCACACATAGTGTGTTTGGATCCACGTTTATGGGTTCAGAAAGTAACTTACGGAACTTATAAGCATGTTGATCTTCTTATGAAATGTTTGAATGAGCTTTTCGCCCATTACGGAGCTTATAAGCCAAAAGCTTATATGAAGAAATGTTGTGTAAGAATTTTCTTTTTTCTCTTTCCTCTCTTGGGTGGGGTTATCAAAGGCTGACTGAGCTCTGTCTTCTCTCTTTTGTAGCTCTATCGGTTTTTTTTTTTTTTTAATTTTGGCAGCATTGCAAGTGTAATATATTAAAATATTAAATCACACTTTGAAAATAATAAACCTAATAAATTGTAACTATTTTGGTTTAGTTATCAAAACATCTGACTTTACAATTGCTGCTTCTGAGTTTGTTGTTTTCATAGTATGGCTTTGTATCACATAATAAGCAACCACCATAAAATCATAAGTTCATCTGTATGCGGTTTCTGGCTTCTATATAGTATCGTAGTTAGATACTTTGGTGACAATCTCGTATTCTCTTGCAACGGTGGAAGGGGGGAAGCAGGCGCAATAATTATTTAATTAGTCTAAAAAGGAAATCGTGATGTATGTAATAGGTCTTGAAATAAATTTGATGTACTTATAAGAATATAGGCCAACCCCACAGGTTGCAGGTTAGCCCTATGATGGGTTGGACCTATATGAGTTAGGCAAGAAATAGCTATTTGAAGATGGGTTGACCAACCAGTCAAAGTAGGTTGACTGGTTGGCTTATTTATTTTTTTTTTTTAAAAAAGATTTTCTATCTTTTAATATTTTTTTCTTATTCAATATCTCAAAAAATATAATAATTTTTTTTTTTTAAAATATTTGATTGAAAGCACCAAATAAATTATATATACATATATTTTAAATTTTTTATATAGAATATAATATATAATAACATAATTATAATAATTTTTATAAAATTTTAAAGATAAAAAAATAAATGGGCTTTAGCCTGCGGATTCATGAGCTAATCCGCTGCAAGTTGTGGTCTGGTGACATGGGTTAGAAAGATTTATAACTTTTAGTCAACCCTAATCTGATATTTTTTGCGGGTTGCACCCACAGGTTATTACCAGCTTTACTTTTAAATGTTAAATTTTACAATATGTGATTTTTTAGCAACTTTTTCAATTTTAAATCAAGTTTCAATAATTTATATTTTGAAGTTATCTAATAATAATTTATCGACTAAAATATATTTTTAATCGTTTAACTTTACACAAGATTTCAGTTTGATTTTTTTACTTTAAAAATATATATTTTTAATTATTTAACCCTAAACTATTAATAAAAGATAATGATATTGAAATTTTGAATGTTGATTATATTTTTAAATATTTAACATATTAAATTTTATTTTCAAAATCACTATAATTTTATAGTTTAATGGCTAAAATGTATTTTTTTTTAAAAACTAAGAGATCAAACTAAAATTTTATATAAAATTAACAAAACATGTATATATTTTGGCCTAATTTATGTGACTTACTTGTAAAATAAGTTTTTTTCCTTTCAATTGAGAAACCTATTTGAAAATTTTCTCAATGGATCATAATGTTTCGCATTCATATAATACTACCTCCAATCCTAAATATAAAAGCTAGTTGATTAATTTAAGTAGATTAAGAAAATAAGTTAAGGTAGTTATTGTAATAAATAAGTGTTTTTTTCTAAAATATCTTTGCTAATCAAATGTATTGACTATTTTGATATATAAACATAAGAAATAAAATAGATTGAGATTTTATATTTAAGATTAAAATAAAATCCAAACGAAATCTTATATTATATTAAAGACTGTGGTATGAAACCCTGATGAGCTCTGGGATGAAATAACAAACAAGGGCCCTTCCCTCGTCCAGCCATTTTCAGGATCAGGATCTTTTTAGAGTCCTTATCTTAGCAGCCCTCAGAAGCTTAAAATCACATCCTTTCAGTTGATCTCGGCGCTCAGAAATCAGACACGTCATGGGGGATTTAAAATAGCATCTCGACCGTCCGTATCATTATCATCCTAGCCATCCATGTTTGATTCCTTTAAACCAGAAGCCGTTTGACATTCTGCAAGCTGAGTTTGGCAGGAACACTTCACACAAGTCGCAAGTAAACTGGTTCTTCTGCCATGAAATAGATATACTTGGATGATGTGATTTCATGGCCATTAGTTATTCCAGTTGCCTGTTTCTGCAATTAGCAAGACTCTATTTAACTTTTTAAAGGTAGTCCAAGTAGAGGAGTTGCCGATTTTGAGGAGAGGGTTCAACAATTAGAGTCTTCATTCCAAGAGACAAAGTAAGATGAAAATAACCAATTGTTTGTATGAAAGATGGTACTCCTCCGGTCCTTAATATAAGACCCAATTGTTGAGTTAGTTTTGGTCCTAAATATAAGACCTATTTCTTATATTTATCAATTTTCTCTAAATTACCCCTATGGATATTCCCTCAACCATAATCAAGTAGAAGAGGGAGATGAGGTATTAAGAAAGATGATTATGGTGTTTTAGGAAAAATGTGTCACATTTCTTATAATTAACTAACTTACCTAACTTTCTTAATCTAATCAAATTAGTTAAATGAGTCTTATATTAAGGACCGGAGGAGTATCTTTTTTTAATTTTTTTCATAGCTAGTGTCATTCTTGATTTTAAAAGGAAATGAACTTACGGGTTAAAAAAAATTTAACAGTGCAATGCCACGAAACTTTTCTTGTATATCTTATTCCTATTTTTTACTCTTTGGTTTTGTCTAGAAGTATAATAGTTTCATCCATATTTAAATTTTTATTTATTTAGAATGTTGCTTGAAGTTAATGCAGGCATGAATCAAATGATGAGGCTGTTCTGCGCAATAAGCTACTTTTCTCCCACTGAAACGCTGAAACAAACAGGCCCAGTGTCCGACGGTAGTTTCTGATGAGCATGAGCTGTCGTTGTCGAGCGGGGATAGAGGCATGAAGCACTGTCTTCTCAGATGGCCAGGGATTTGGCTGAAAGCTGATAATAAACAAACGGTTGAGATTATAAGGAAGCCAACGATAGAGATGCAATTTTAGACGCTGGATGATGTGTCCCAATTTTGACCGTCGAGATCAACTGATCGGATGTGATTTTAAGCTTCTGAAAGCCGCTTGAGAATAGGACGCTGAGATGATCCGGATCCCCATTTTCGCTGTTTTAATCTTACCCCTCTGTCTCGGTTCTACTTCGTCATCATCAACAACAATCCGCCATTTCAGAAACTGTTTCAGAGAAGCATTTTCACCATTTCAGAAATCGAAGCCATTGCCGGCAAAATCTAAGGCATTACCTCTCAGAAAGCATTTTCGCCGTTTCCTCCATCTCATTTGCCACTCCCTGCGAAAACTAAGGCGTTACCGTCTTTTGGAACGGGAAATCGCCGCTGTCGATGAAGGGGAAACTTTAGCCGTTGTTGGAGGAGGCCGCCGTTGCCATCGTTCGCCTGCATCACGCCGTCGGAGCACAACGTGCGGAAGAGGTACCATCGATATAGACACGGCTGTGTGGATGAAAAAGACCAAAGCTTGACTGACGTGGGCAAATTGAGAGGTCTATCTTAGGGAGTGTGGAATCGACTTCCATCAATTTTGACGGAACTGGGGTGGGGTTTGTGGAAGTGGGATTGAAGCGCATCAAACAAGCTCCTAAGTGGATCCCAGGTACACTTCCACTGCTGCACTCCTCAATTCCAGTATACCAAACAGGGCATTAACTTAAGATGGATATGATTGAATGATTCCCTAGTTCATTGTTCCACAGCAGTTAGTATTGGTTTCTAGTTCTTGGGACAAAATATATGCTCCGCTTATTGAGTTACATTCGAATTGTAATGATTGAATATGCAGTTAAACTTGATTACCATTTTCTATGTCGGTTTCGTTATGCGTGAGTTTAATTGTAATTTTATTTTAAATCCGTGTTCGAGCACTCTGAATTACATTTTCCTGCAGGTCAAATACAACAGTTGGATACCATTTAGCACCTCATTGAACATAATCGAACCAGCTTGGTCTCCACTTCTTCTAGCTTTGTGCTGAGAGTGATTGGAGTGTCCGGTTCTCTTGTCCGTTGTACTTCACTTCGCTTTAGTCAGCTTTAGGATGCTTGCAGGTGTCTCTTCTTCTCTCTCTATATTTCAATGTGTGGTTGGTTTACCTTTTGTCGATGGAACCTGATTACTTGATGAATTATCCAGCGCTGTAAAGTAGATGTTTCTAATTTTCAGGTTTTATTTTTAGGTTGGACTTAGAAAGTGGAATATTTTTAATTTTTTTTTTCACTCTTTCCAAAATTTAACATAACCAATAGACTATTCAAAAAGCTTATCAAGAAAACAAAATTGTACAGGTAGTGAAACACCGTCTGCCCAATTTCTTGGTACTTTGATTATACAGAATTCAAAAGCAATATTTTATCGTCCTGTTGAAACTTGTAAAACCATGATCTTGTTTATTGATTAGTTTGAATGGAGGAAACTAGAAAATGGTTCTTCTAATTGACTGTTCTAGTCCCCACTGATGGCTACTTGGATTCTTAGGAATTGTAAATGCCCCTCATTAGCCTGTACGGAGCTGAATTTTATTACAATAAATTTGCGTTTAAATATTGAATTCACATAATTTTCTGCATATTTCTTGGTACATGTATGATCAATGTGTCTGGCCAGCGATTTGAAGATACTATGATGCTTTTTGACTTTACTGATTTCCGGCAAAGCAAATGGGAAGATAATTTCTGATGACTGAATAGAATGAATACTAGGTATTTATATACAAAGAGTGAAGCTATCCTAGGAAGGGCGTTTGATTTAATGTGCTGGATACAAATATCAAAACTTAAGTGATTGATAATCCCTTGATTGTATCCCTTACTCTAGAATCAAGTAAAAAAAACAATAATAACAATAAATCGTGGGAATATTTACTGAATAATTACAATATCTAACAATTTCAAACACGGTAGATATACTTTCCTTGACATGTCATTCTTCTTTCTGCAGGTTCTACCACTGGAAGTTACTTGCAACTTAGGGTTGCCAATTTTCCCAAAAGGCAAATTATTATACTCTGGGTCACTGTTAGCTGATTATATGTATTTTGATGTTGACTGGAATAAAGTACTATTCAGATGGTATAACATATTATCTGTGCAGGTCTGGGAGGGGGAAAATACAATGTTCCAGACCTCATTTCCGTGTGAAATATGAAGTTTCTTGCAATTTTACCCAATCAGATAATGATCCAAGATTACAAAAGGTACTTGTGAAAGAGCAACCTTCAGTTAAGATGTGTGGCATCACATCAGCTAAAGATGCAGCTATGGCAGCCGAAGCTGGGGCTAATTTTATTGGAATGATCTTGTGGCCAAAATCAAAACGTTCCATCTCTCTTTCTGTGGCAAAGGAGATCTCAAAAGTCGCAAGAGAATATGGAGCACGTCCTGTGGGTGTATTTGTGGACGATGATGCAGAAACAATATTAAGAATTTCTGAAGGAGCTAACCTTGAATTCGTGCAGGTATATTTTCGTCTGACCTTGATGTGTAATCCATGCTTCTCAATTAAATGCTTGATCTCATAATATCTGGAAAACGCAGCTTCATGGGCATGGTTCTCGGGCAGCTTTTCCATCTTTGATTCAGGAAAATCGTGTAATATATGTTCTTCATGCAAATGAAGAGGGAAGCCTGTTAAACACAATTTCTGATGAACAATGCTCTCTAGTTGATTGGGTTCTTGTAGATAGTGCAACGGGTGGCAGGTAAAATTGAACTTCTTATATTGCTTATGTTGGATAATTTGACCCTCTCCCAGCAATCAAATAGGATTCAATTTGTCTCTTCTAATATATTATATATCTTTACTATTATGAATGTTGAACAAATTATATAGTGATATTATTTAACTCCTCATGAGATGTATTTACAGTGGCAAAGCATTTGATTGGGCAAAGTTTAAACCACCAACAATTGGAAGCAAGCATGGTTGGCTACTGGCAGGAGGGATCAATCCTGACAACGTATCAGAGGCTTTATCTGCTCTCAAGCCTCAAGGGGTCGATGTTAGTAGTGGAATTTGTGCATCAGATGGCATCCAGAAGGATCAATCAAGAATAACTTCCTTCATGAAGGCGGTGCATTCTGTTCAGTATTAATTAATCTCAGATCATTTTGATCTTCGAGACAGCACATTAACAAGGTTCAGGATTTAATGAGCAGAGAGTATACAATTTTCATACTGATTTGGGTATTTTTGGGACTCATGAACTAGAGAAGTACATTTCTCAAACAATTATGTTGAGAACGTTAACGCCCAAGCAAAATAATAAAAAGCTAAATGACTGCCATTCTAGTTCCCACCCTAAGTTTCAAGCCTGATCAGATCAGAGGGTTGAATTATTTGAAGTTAGATAGGCTTGTGGATATCGTGTTTCCCCTGCGTGAAGAGTTTTGATGAGGGTTTTCAAAGTGACCCCTAGCCTGGGGCCTCCGTCTTACCCGGCCAATTCGGGTGGGGACGTGCCAGCCCGAGGGAAGGGACAAGGCAGCTCTGATTCCCTGCCCACGACCGTGCAAATGGAGCATGTTCTCTCTTTTTGGGACCGGCTACGGGCAAGGGCTTAGGGCGGTTCATCTTTGCCTGTGCATTAGTATAACCGTGATTCCCAATCTTAACCCCATTTGAAATAGCTTATAAAGAACTTTTCAATTACAGAATATGAAGTAAATATGTAAAAAGAGTTTTATTTTGGTTTAAGTAAAATATATTTTCCATCGTGATGGTAAACCGGGTCTTGTTAAGAGTTTTTTCCATAGCATCATTTGGATCCTCTCCATATTTTTTCTCCATACATGCAATCCCATCCTATCCATTGGATTTAATGGTTATGCATTTACTATTATCACTTGAATGCTCTTGAAAACAAGATCATAACATTTATTAATGATATTGATCAAATAAATATTATATTTAGTTTAATGTCACGATTACATTCTAACTCTCCCCTACACACACACACACACACAAAGAAGAGATGGATTATAATTCTCTTACTAAAAAGAAATATTTATTCATTTATTGTATCTTTCAATCAATCTCTGGGAGAACATTTCTCCCATCGCCTGGCATTGAAGCACACAGCAGACAGCTCATATACAGGAATTTGAAGATAAAAGAAGTTACATGTCCAGTTTGGAGCACTAATGCAATATTTGAGAGATAGGGACTGAATGTCGTAATAAAGAATTTCAATGCAACCTTTCCTCACAGAATAGACTAGTGGACTTCATCTGTTATTAAACTTGTGTACTCTGAACCAATAAAGATCAGGTGAAAGCACACGCCCACCTAACCATCCAACACAAGTGCGTCAACGTTTCGCTTTCCTTCAGGACCTTTGGTATACCATGACGACACATAGTCCCCATAAACAACTCCCCTATATTTTGGTGGCGAAGATTCCCCAGGCAGTTCAGATGCAGGGGATATCTTGACTGTCTTAGCAGGATCATGAAATGTTGCTACAGAGAGCCTTGCTCGGTTAGAATTGGTAATGGCCCTATGCTCACAACTCCTGTACTTCCCATTTGTGATAATCTGTAGACAAAGGAATTTTCCTTTAGCAAGAAACTGTTTGATATCACAAGTTTGTATAGCAATCTCAGTTTCATTAATGAATATATCTACCCACTACCAAGCTTCATGCTGGAATTTCATACCAACAACTTGTACAATAGAATGGAAAAGAGTGAAACGAAGTAGTAGGAAAATACTACTTCTCTTCTATAGGAGTATCAATGAACCAGAAACAACCCAATAGGATATGGGCACCTGTTCCAACATCTGTTTTGACCATTTTTGTTCCGGACAATACTTATATTAAATTCCTTATATCTATTGTGTCAAGTTCTTTAATCACACACGATCATGTGTCCTATTTTTCAACTATTAGCATTTAATTATAAATTCACATGAAACAAAAAAAAAAAACACTTGCCATATGTAATTAGAAAATTTGACATAATAGATATGAGGAACTTGACCTAAGTTTTTTCCTTTTGTTCTGATACATTTTTAAATACAATAACATGAAATGACTCAAAAGATAACAGACTGAAGATTTTCATTTATTTTAAACTTGAAATTCACGGCTTAATTTGCTTTATGTTTCAAGTGGTAGATAAATTGCAAACATATATTTTTCATGCGCTAACTTGTTGAATCTATGTACATTGTATTTATCTCTCAAAATTTTGAAGACGACTGTATTTCACATATCGGCTAACGTCTACCCAATTTCCCGGATCAATGGTCTAAGTAGTACTTTGAGGCCTAAGGGCCAAGATAGTGGTTTGAGGCCTATGGACATTCCAGAGACAACAGCAATGAATCTAACCTTGTCTTTATGAATCTTTACAGGTCAACTCAAAACATACAATGCAACACCACAGATTAATTTAACCAATTTTTTTTGCAAGGATGGTAGGGGGACAACCCTCAAGTATGAGTCAAGTACTCTTCATCCATACGCTCCTCAAGAGACTACTCTATAGTCAATATTCAAAAGGGCTTTTCAGTTATCAGTATCCAATCAATCCCAGAATAAGTTAATTAGTTTTGTCCAAAAGAAGAAGGATATGTTGAAGTGAAACTTCATTGTAACCGGGGCGTCCACATACAATGAGGCATAAGTGTCCAAAGTAACACATAGATAGCTCACAGCAGGCTGTGGTATCAATGTCCATACAACTACCACAAGGAACTTTCATACTTGAGGCAAGAAGACGCTGTTTAATATACAAAACAGATAACTCCCGTTGGCAAAAGGATCCCAATCCAAATGATCTATCACATGATCAAGTTTTAGTTGATATAAAAGAATACACGAAACATGACCCCAAAAGAAAAAAGAATACTCAAAATTCTAGATCAATTTCACAATGTCAATAGTTACACTGATTTTCGTCCGCCACAAACTATCTCAGCGCTGAAAGTAAAGCGTAACCAGACTAAATGAGAAGGATTGGTGTTTACCTCAGTTTGATCAGCCAATAGAACGAGAATAGCCTCAGAGAGAGGCTTCACAGTCACCCATTTGGCACCATCCTTGAGAACCTGAAGACCCCCCACATCGTCTTGGATCAGAAGCGTGATAGCACCCATATCAGAGTGAGACTGCAGACCCAGTGTGAGTTCGGGTTCAGGACATGGAGGGTAATAGCTGATAGTGATGTTCTGATAGAAATCCCCAACGGCGTCTTCAATGCACGAAGCCCGCAGGCCTAGACTCACTGAGATTAGACCCAACAACTTCTGAGCCAGAATTTTCATTTCATCGCTGTACTTGGTGACGACTTCTCTGTAATCGGGAGGGAAGTTAGGCCAGCGAGAAGGGTTGCGGCGAGATAGAGGCGAAGTGTGGTGATCGAAGTAATCCCTCCAATCCAATATTTGAACCGCGTCGTTTTGCTGCTGGTCTGAGCTCTGAAGCATCCGACTTCCGTACCCTTCGGACGCGGCAGTACTGGAATCACATGCGTATCGGAGCTTCTCTGACATAGGGCAGTCGTTGAAGAAAGTGAGACCCACGCGTCTGATATCATCCAGAAGGCTGACCGGGATGCCGTGGTTTGTGACATGAAAAGCGCCCCATTCCCGACAAGCCCGTCCGATTGCTTCCCGAACCGAGTTTGTGTGATCGGGGTCGAACCCGAACAGATTGACCACCGGAATATCGGCATCGGAGGAGGCAAAGCTTGAGGAGGTTGTGGCGGCGCGGGGATCATGATGAATGGGTCGGTTCTCGGGGAATTGAATATACTGAGGTGGAACTTGAGACAGACCTGATTGAGCTAGAGCTTGCACTCTGGTAAGGCCGCCGGAAACTTCCATTTGGGAGATGGTGCCTTCAAAACAGTTAAGATGAAGAATGCAGCGAAAAAGGAGGAAGATGAATTTCGTTTTGTTACGAAAGTTTTGCTGCGGAGGTTGGAGCAATGTTTTAAAAGCCGAACCGGAAGTCGAACCGGAAAGATCAACGGGTCATGGTTCAATCGGTCGGATCGGTCGGACCGTTCGGTCAGACCGGTGACGCAATAATTAATTTTAAAAAAATTATATACATATAATTAGTATATATGAAAAATATCAAATTATTAAATAATTTAGAAATGCATTTAAATAATCTAAAATTATAATAAAATCATTGAAAATGGACTAAAACTTTATATATTTAATTTTATGTATGTTTAAAATATTTAATGATATTACAAATTATCAATTCATTCAAATCAAAATATTTTTTTTAAAGATAGATCAAATATTGAAACAAAAAGATTAGCGACTCACGATTTTAACACCACAATATATGAAATTTTCAATGAAATAATACTATATGGTTATAACTAGTCTAAAAATATATTAGGATATTTAAGGGGATCAATTTTTTTATTTTTCTTCTATTTTTTGAAAAAATTTTAGTATTTTTCAGTCAGGCTAAAAAACCGTCCGGTTTTCTGAAAACCGTTCCGGTTCCCGATCCAACGCCGGTTTCCGGCTTAATAACGGCTCAACTCCGGTCCAATCCGGCTCAACTATGTGAACGGTTTTTTGGTCCAAACCGAGCCGTTAACGAGTTCGGGTGACGGTTCAACCGGTCCGACCGTCCGGTCCGGTCCGGTTCTTTAATCATTGGGTTGGAGGCCGTATCATAATCTCGACGCGGCGTAATATTGGTTTTCTTCTTTGGAAGTAAAAAATTATACTACCTCCGGTCTTAATTATAACTAATTACAACAGTTAGTTAACTAATTTATAATAGTTAGTTGATTAATTTGAATAGATTAAGAAATAGATTAAGCTAATTATTTATAATAAATATGTCTTGTCTCTCTTAAAGTATTCTTGTTAATCAAGTGTGTTGATTAGAAATATTATTATTAAAAAGACTATTTTGAAAAAAAATGTATAAATATTGAAGACAAAATGGATTAGGATTTTATATTTAGGATCAAAATAAAAATCAAATAAGATCTTACTACCTCCGGTCCTAATTATAAGACTCAGTTGACTAATTTGGAGAAATTAAGGAATTTAGTTAAGTTAGTTAATTGTAATGAATAGGTATTGTTTTTCCTAAAATATCCTTACTAATCAAGTG